TATTAATAGAGAGGTTGCAGCCGAAGTTTTCATCTCTAAAATGTGAACGTCGAACATCGAGCTCCTCTATCTTGTAAGCAGCGCTTGACATTTGACGTTCAGGTTTCAGAGATGAAAACTTCGGCCACAACCTCGCTATTATGTTATGGATTTGATAATGTGTGTGTGTGGAAACGATAATTTTATTACCCTTTTCTGATTAAGTAAATTATACCCATTTTATAAAATTAAGTATTGAAACCAAACTTACATAAAGTTAGCTTAAATTTTTTTCTTTTTTTTGTAGTTTATTGTGGCAGTGAGAGAGAAACTTTGAAGTTATTTCAGGAGGATGGAAAAGTATATACAAATGTACAGTACATAATATTGGGTTAATATTTTGCGATGTTAAAAAAGTGTCCCTAAAATATGTTATCCGACATTTTTATGTTCATTAGTAAATGATAATAAATTTATTTATAGAATTAGCATTAAAGTATTTGGTTTATTTTTTTATGTAGTTTAGTCATCACATATCTTTCCTTATAATCTTCTCTATCACACAGAGCAGCAACAGGCTTATATGACACATTTCCAGTATTGAGGAAAATAAATTAGTCTCACAGTAGACATTTTTATAAAGTGATTAAAAGGACAAGTCGTTAACAATGACATTATTAATAATAATGTCTCTTAATTCAAGAGATCAGACGAGCACATAGTAAGTTGTCATCCTACCAAATTCGAACCTAATTAAAATGTAATGCAAACAGCTTGAGTCAAATGCTGTTTGTAATCCGTTAATCTTTTGTAGTGTCATTGTAAGCTGGGTTACCCTATAAAAATCATTATTTAGCATATGTGTTCCATAGAAAACCAGTTATTTTTAAATTATCCTCAAAGCTGCAGACACCTTTGCTAAAATAGCAGAAAATCTGGCTGCTGCTTTAGGGAAGCAGGCAGATTTATTAGGTTCTAGTCTTAATTAGTTGAACATTGCATTTTACTACAGTTCAAGCCTGCAAGTAATTGACAAAATTGGCCCCAAATATAATATATAATATGTTGCCTTTCTATAATAAATTAACGGATTTTCTTGTAACTTGGACAATTATTCTATTGTTTAGGAATGATTGCGTTAATCTATCCTTTGCCATTTTTTTTTAAACTAAACTATCAAATTAGCAAAATAAGTATAGTATTAACTCTTAAAAAGTATTGTTTTTAAATTTAGATAAAGAAATGATACTAATAGTGACATTCAGTAGTTTAAAGATCAATGGTTATCTTGAACAGGGCTTGAACATTGAATTAGAATGGCCAGCTTGATCCAGGATCAAGTGTAACAAATTTAAATACCACATCCTGAAGAATTCTATAAATATTTCATATAAAAGAGTTTATCTTATGGAAATTCTTAAAGAAGAGATGCTATAATGTAAAATGTTTATCAAAGTTCACTCTGAGTTGTCTTTTCGTATGCTTTATTATGTAAACATGACACATTCTCGTTCACAAAGCAACCTGAATAAAACTAGTCACAGATATTTTAACAAATTAGAACGATCGGAGTGAAGAAAATATACTCCAACTGATCACACGTCGTCGGTAAATATGGATAAGAAAATATACGCAAATCAATTCCACTCTTCCAACGAGAAAAATCACAGAAGGCAATGGATAAGATTTCATCCATGGAAAAAGGCAGTGAAAGTTCAACTCTCGGCCACCGTCTTGCTTCTCTTATATAATCTGGTTCTCCCCTTACGTCGCTCCCCTTCTGCGGGTTCCTTGGAGGCCATCTCTTGATCGTAAAGGCTTTTGCAGGCATCGTTGGCCAATGGGTACATCAGCGAGGTCCTCCTGAATCTTGTAGGTGTGCCCATTTTGTTCATGTCCACACTGGAAGGATCTGCTTGGAAGGCCAGCGCGTTCATGATAATGTGATCCGGCACTACGGAAAGGGGGTGAACTTCTCGCATTAGAACTCCTGCGGGGATCTTGTAAAACTCTATACACTCGAGAAAGTTTGACATGACGTCGCGCAATTCTGAACTGGGGACAACGTCGCAATAACGTTTACTCCAATGGACTGCCGCCTGAAATTTGGTAAGTTCATCGGCTTTCAACTCCTCGCGCGATAGTATCAGTCTAACGACGTGTTGAGGCAACAGGGCAAAACTACCTAATCCCAAAACCTCATTACCGTGAAGATCTACGAACTCTAGAACCTGCAAAGCGTCAAAGTTGTCTTTATTTATTAATTCACAAGAAATTGGTTGATTTAGAACATAGCTTACCTTCTGTACCAGTGATTTTGTACATTTATATTGTATATACTTCTCTGCCGAGGATAGAAGCGCGCAGACTGTATCCACATTGATACAACACTGTACGAAACCCATACATGCTCTTCTCAGCTCGTCGAGTCCATAGTAATCAGCCGCATTCATCAATCCTTTAAAAAAACAAACACCAGTGAAAAAATACGGTCTTTAGGAGTAAAACAGTAATAAGAATCATACCCAGGAGTGTTCTTGCCTGCAACGTAACACATCCCGTGTGTATATACTCGATTAATTGCCGGAAGACGTCAGGCTCGAATTCTTCGACAATCAAAGTTTGGTGCGCATTAAATGGCACCTATATAAGTAAGTTACGCCATAGAGCATCCAAACTGGACTTAAACGAAATAATTGACCTCACCCACCTGCGTTAAAGGTACATTTAAAATAGGCTCACTACTGCGCTTCAGGAATAATTTCAATTTTGTCTCCTTGCTAAAATCTCTCTTCCGAGATTGAATTTCTCTTGGAGCAACTTGCTGAGTGTACAGAATCTTGTGAAACACCCTAATTCAAAGTTTTCCCGTTAGAAAAGATTTTATTGGCTTTAGTTTTTAGATAAATTTCAAAAAACTCACCTGCTTCTCGCCGCCAAAACGGCTTTTACTGCACAAACTGGCTCCCTAGTTTCACCCACCAAGAACGTTACATCACACAGCTCGGGCATACTTGCCAAAAACTTCATGTCTTCTGCCAGACCGCTCTTATTCTCGAAAACGGAGTAATCTTCAGTATCTTCATTAGATATGAGTTCATCAGACATTTTATTTACCTGTTGATGAGAACGAACACAACAAAATGCTTATTAAAGCTGGTAAAATTGTTCAGATTCCAACGAAAAGTCGATTTTTTTTTTTAAATTTTATGCCCTTAACGTATAACTACAAAGTACAGTGCCATAGGGCTTTCTGGAGAAGAACTCAGGCCCGTGTTCACTTCACAATCAAGGGTCAAGAAGAATTACAGCTTAAGTTATAACTTGGCTTCTTTGAATTGTAGGTAGGAAATCTTATTCTTTAATTTTACTTAAGATAAATTATCAATTGTTAGTAAGGTCAGAATGCCAGACGGGTTTGAGGAAATTCATTGTAAGAACTGGCGATTCCAACGCATCTTTCTAATAATAGATCTTATGGAAACAAAAAACCGTGGACTCAAAGACACAGTTCCTTTACTTTTTTTACATTCTAAATAATGAAAAGCTAATTATTGCGAAAAATCCACGAATATGATCCATACTGAACTCGAGATCAAATATTCAATCAAGTATACCGTTAGACGTTGCATATATCATATTTCGTGTTGGAAACACTTGAATTGTGTGTAATTTAAACAAGATGGAACGTATTTCTTAGAATATATTTGAAGATTTTGTATATTGGCATAAAAATCAAGTTAACAACAACGGTATTTATTATCAAGTCCGACATTTTCGTGCTATTTTAAGAGCATGTATCGGGTGTTTACTAAGCGATTATGCCGAGGGGAATTGAGTTAAAATGGTTTTGCGCGCCATTTATCACGGAAAAATCATATTTTATAACAATTTTTACTTTCGTTTCGATTGTTTACACGCTCGATAGAAAGCGAAGTTAAGTTTTTTTCTTAATTTTTTTATATTTGCCAAAGGAGTACAACTACCTGCCGCCCACCTGTTAGTTCGTAGGCCTAAGATGTTGACATTCTGCGGCGGTTTTTTCGTTATTTTTATCAAAATTCTATCTCTTAACGCCCTTTATCGAACGTGTAAACATCACTCGAGAGTTTAGCACTATTTTAATGGCAAAATTAATTAATTTACCTCCAGTTTCGGGCATTCGAGAGACGGCTTCTCCGCACGACACTTCCACCTCATAACTGTTTATCGATCGTGACGCGTGACCTGCTTTCGTCCTTCTGCCTTTTTTCTTCTTATTTCTCCACTTTAATAACGTTTCGACGTATAAATAAAATATATAAAGGATTAAAAGCGATTAATTTCAATATTTATGCAATACAAATTGTTCTTTATTCTCTCCGATGTCTATTAATCGAATTCTAAATGAACGTAATCCGGCTTAATGCGTTTTAATTAATTAGGTTAATGAAGAACGGGATAGGTTACATTAGGTTATGTAGCGTTGTGACAACAAATTATGCCAATGTATTTCTTTAATAAATTTAATTATTTAACAAATATATAAATATTTTACGCGTATTTTAACAAATTAATGTAATATGAAATGGGTCGTAAATGTACTTCTAATTGTTAAAAATGTCGAAAAGTTTCAAATAATCACGAGGGGCGCTTTGTTCAAAAACCATTTTTAAATTATTAATAAACAGTTTTAATTCAAAAAATAATGTTTTAATTTCACAATAAAACTGTATAATATATTTCTAATTAAAAAACGAATAAGTAATTCTTAATTAGCCTAATTAACTGACTGTGGCGAATTTCCGCTTATACGTCGCCATTTTGATCGAATATGGCCTACATAGATACGAAAATAACATTACCTTTTTAACGGTAAAAATTTATCGAATAACTTAGATGTATTTTTAAGATTATTTAATATGGAATAATTTGCAGCTATGAGCATTAAAAAAAATATATTTCGGTTAATTGACTTTTGGGCCATTCTACTTGTACTGCAATTGGAAAATGCGCCAAGTTTGCCCTGGTTGCAGGAAGAAGAAACTATTGCTGTGTTTTGTAAGTATAAACCGAACTTGAAAGGAAAATTTACTTAATGTTCAGTTTATATTTCGTTGCTTACTTTTAAAAAATTAATGAATTTTATCTATTTTGTACCCTTTAAGTATAACAACGAGTTGCGTGACTTTCCCTTTGTTATATATAACAGCGAGAGTACCACGAAATATTAATTTTTGATATAAAACACGGAAAATATAAACAGTGGCGCGTTATCCCACGGGAAATTGCCCGAGGACCCCAACAATGCTTTGTAAGAAAGTTTCTCCCGAAAAACGATGAGTCAATACTGTGAAGTTGATAATTGAAATTCGTCTGGGCCCCATGAAGCTCTAACGCGCCACTGATTATGACGATACATATTTGATTAATAACGCTAGTGAATAATAATTTAAGCTTATATAAGAATAATTTCTGATTGTTTACGGTTTAAGTTGGTGACATTTAAATATTAATTCCGGTATTTTTGAGTTAAATAAGCAGCTACGCCCTAAAATGTGTACATCGAGTTATCATGTTATTGTATTCATGTTTGTTCGGGAATTTTTTGTAACGCATGATCGATACGACAACAAAATGGTTACTCAGCCATAGTGATGTCATCAAAAATTCTAATGACGTGTATTAAAGCGCCAGAGGCGAGTAGCGGTTGGTATGTAAACAAACTATGACCAAGCAGACAGAAATAATTTAAAAATAATAAAAATTATATATCACAATGGCACGCCGATGCTATTAAAATTTAATCACTCAACTCGAATATGTATGATTAAATAATTTGAAAAGAAATTTCCCCAATTTAATGCTTAAATCGTGATGCATATAAAATAAAGATTATACGAGAATGCCAGAAACTAGCAATTAAATTTATTTTATACTTAAAAAATATTAAATAATTTACAGTTAAAATTAATACATATTTTGTACGTTCGATTTTATTTTAATTTTTAATTCAATTTAAATTGGTATTAGGAATCCAGACGCGCCCCTGGTGGCGATTTTCCGAGGCAGAGCCAGGAAAGTACTCTATTGCACCATCGTGAGAAGTTACATCTGTGAACGGTTTCTGGCTTTGGTACGTTAATTTTATTATTATTAATTAAATCGAAGTAATTGTTTCTGTGGAATATTGCTTCGTTCTCTCTAAAATTAAAATCTTAAACAATATAAATCTAATTTAGATGATAATTACAATAATCTCGGATGTTATATGATGAACACGTGGTTTTATTAGCTTATTGAGCATTATTATGCAATTAGAAATTGTTTCTTAATCTGATAATTTGACGTGGATATGTTCACAGATTATCTTATTTTTTCAAATAATATAAAATTCTTTATGTCGAATGATGTATATAAAAGAACAAATTCTTCTAAAGAAATTGTTCAAAGATTGGATAATTTTGATTGCATAATGGATAATGGTATCGAAGAATGCAACCAAATAGCAACAAGACATTGATAGATTTAATATTCTGTACTGTACATAAAACTTTGGATTGTTTATTCTTATAAGATAGTGTGACAAATTAAATAGAAAGTTAATTTAATCAAATATGTCTCGAGTAAAGATTGCATAAAGGTGGAGAAGTGAAGTATTGTTTGGATGGTAAGATGATCTGATGAAGGATTCATCTCCATTAGATATGAAACTGTAATTTGGTATCATACTCGCAATAATAAAAACTATTTGAAATTTTGGACTCTATGGAATTTCGGTTATTTTTTAAAAGTTGTTTGGAAATTCTCCAAACGTTGTTTCTTTTTCATCGTGAGAAGTTTATATTGCTAATTGTAATTTTGAATTATTGTCATTTCCATTATTTTTCCTTTTTTGTCTCTCCCTCTTTAGTCATTATGAGAGTCTGTTTTAATTGTACTCGTTGCCACTGGTGCGAAAATTGCAGCGGTGGGATGGCGAGAGATTCGGACTTGACATATCTGAATGAACCGTCCATGAAAAATTTTTTGGGGATTTTTTTGACTCGTCCAAATTTGTTCCCGGATCCCCGGAGTGGTAGGCCGACGCCTTAACTGTTTTGGCCGTCCAGCTGTCTCATCCGCGTCCCTATTCCCTACATTTTGACGGGATGGTTAGGTAGTTGAGAGACCTTATTGTAAACAGGTATAATGTTGTAAGTAGTGAATTGACAACATTCATAATATGTATGCAAATGCCACCAGTAAATATTGTTGGTAAATTAACCATAATTTGTAATGTGTTCACTCTATTTACAGTTTCATCTGTGATAAAATAAGTTTTTTTTACATATCTATGAGTTCACTTTTTAATATTTTATATACCTAGATATAATTTTCCAAGCAGTTAATTATTTAATGGTTAAAATAATGTGAAATATATAGTCTGAATCTCATCAGAAGCATATATGCAATTTCTGGCTTAAATTACATTTTTCTATTTGTATAAGTTTTACTGTTATTTTAATCATTGATTTGTAAACATGAAAAATATTTATTAAAATTGAATGTGATTAATTTTTAATAAATATCTTCTGTTGTCTGATAGGTGGACTTTGACAGGTAGCAACATGGGTGTGGGCTAGAGTATTGCAATACTTTTAATGTTTTAAATGTTTGTGTTATATTTTCTCAAATTGTATATCTTTAAAATGCATTTTTATATGCTTAAATTGTTTGAGAATATTAAATATAGTACAACACGTTTCAAAAAACAAATAAACAATGCTTAAATTGTGTTTATCATATCTTTAAATGTATAAGTGAGGCTTTTTTATTATTATTTGCTATATCAGTACATAGCGCATTAATTGAAAAGTCTCTCTCAAAATTTCTAGCCATGGAGAATCCTGAATGTGCCGAAGGAACAGTTGCCTCAAAGAAAGAAAACAAAGAAGCAAACAAGGATTTGAACAATTATTCCACCTTTTCTTTAAGCAACGTAGAAGAAATGTCGACGATGTTAACGGGATTGAGTTTGGCGGATTTTACGCCCGTTGTCGAACGGGAACTATACTCCTTGCAGAAAAATGTGGCAAATGGTAATTACCAAATTTTATAAAGGAAAACTAAAAATAGTTTGTTTATAGCACAGACACTATCTTTTAGGTATAGAAAATGCTTCGGTGCAGTCGCCGCTTAGCGTATCGCGGACTATGGCGTGTTCCATCTGCAGCACGAGTTTTATAGACAGAAGTGAACAGGTGGGTGTAAACTTTGTACATGTTTTGAATTCTATGCACAATCTTAAAAATTGATAAGTATTTTATGAGATTTGAGGGATTATAAGGTAGAATCAGTTGAGCTATTGAACTCATTCTGGGCTGTTAAGGAAAGATTTGAAAATAATTTGCCAGTCAATTTAAATTGGATATCGGGTCAAGCATGGCACTTCAAACTAGATTTCTAAAGAATCGAGTTTGAGGTGGTATACTTCATCAGATATCTGATTAAATATGACATATATTTATTTCTAAAATCAATACAGAAAGACTGTAAGTGATGCCACAAACCTAAGTTTGTAACTTCAAAGCTTGGTTGTCAGTGATTTTAATTACATATAATTGATAGTGAAATATACAATTTGCATTGTCATTTGATGAAAGTTCAACTCATCTGAGCTGTACATTTATCATCAGAACAATTGGTTTTAAGTTCAAGGATTTTTTTTTACCTGTAAAAATTTCTTAANTGTGAGGGTGAATTAAACTTAGAAATTTGGAAAAAAGTAATTCCATTTTTAAAATAATTTTTAGTTTTTTCAATGATTTGTTTAATTACTTGTTATATTTTAAGTATTAATTTCAAGTAATAAAGGATCTATAAGAAAAACTTTCATATAATATAACTGATATTGCTTCTATGATAATCATAGGCAATGTGGGAATAATATATCAAACTTGTGAGAGAGATGTAAGAGCATATTATTCTCATTAACTGTAACTTGTACATACAAATATAATAAAAAGTATATATAAATAATGTTTTTGAAGTCTAAAATTATTTTTCAGTAATAACTTGTTTTTGGAAGTAAAATATGTTTTTATTGCAGGTTTTAAGAGAGGAGCTGATCCTGGGATGCCTGCAATTACATTACTCAAGTAAGATGGTTTTTATTATGCAATTATTACTGTATATGTATTTATATTTGGTTATTGCTGTAATTAATTTTAATACATACCTGTACATATTCATGGCTGGACAGCAAGAGTGGTGAGGCGTAAGCCTGCTGCTCTGATGGACTTGGGTATAGTCCAATTAAATCTTCGGAAACCTTCATAGATATGGTTGCATAAACAGGCTGACACACAAGAAGTTGCATAGTAAAACTTTAGCCACCTACACATTAGACCCAGAGGTACAGATACTTCTTCAAGCCACTGTCTTCATCCTCCTGATCAGAGAGAGGGATGATTTAAGAGCATTGGAACAGATGGAGATGTACTGTACAGTACATCTACGAAAGAAATTTGAATTGCAGTAATTTTAAAAATTGTGGCACCATTTTCACTGTTTGAAAAACTGTTTGAATTGCAGTCACCTTTGCTTAGTATACTTATTTTTATCTGTATTTATTTTATCTTATGTTTTATTTTGTCTGCATCATTGACACCTATTCTTTATTCCTTTCTTTAGAATACACTAGTATCAAAATCTTTCAAAACAATTTTAAAGATTTTGACATTGATATAACATTTGAACACACATACTTTGGATTCGGTTGCTCTTACTTGTTAAAATTATTCAATTTTATAAGTTTGAATTTGAAATTTGAAAAAATCATTGTATCTTGAAAAGGTCAGTATAAAGGGAACACATTACAAGCATACTATCCAGTTAAATGATGGAAGAACATTGTCAAGTTCAGTATTATATTTTCACAGATTTATCAGTGATTTTACATCTTGGTATAGTATTGTCAATAAATCTGTGAATTTGTAGTGTGAAGAACACTATAGAACACAGTAAATTGTTAGTCTAATATGTAGATGGTATTAATGATGATGTAGATATTAAATTTGGAACAATAATAAAACTTCTGTAGATAGTTTGGATATTACTATTGTTATGTAGATCTACATAACAATAGTAATGGTGTTTATCATTAACCTGCCTTTAGATTTTCATGTATACGTCAGATATTGCTTATATGACAATTACAAGTTAACTGTTTATTTTGTGATTTAATTAAAATTAATTTATGGAGTATACAGTTAAATAAGATATCCATGACGGATTTTAAAAATTGCTTCCTAGGATTTATTAATTCTTATATTAACAGTAAGGTTTTGGAGTATTTTGACTGAAGTCCAAGTGATTAAACTTGGCTCCAACTTTGATATAAACTTTTATATTTAAACTGTACAGTTAAGTCTAAAGAAAAGCCTGATGATTTACATGATGATAATGAAACACCTCATGGTACTGTTTTAACAGATTTACCATTATTAATTTTAATGAGCTTTTATAAAGGAATCGGAGCCAAAGATATAAGACTTGGAAAGTTGCAGCTGGAATTGGGAATTTAAAAGTGAGAATTGATTTTGTGTATTGATCAAGGTCTAATATAACTGGCCACTGCTTTATTCAGGTAGCTACATCCATGGTAAATGAGAAAAGTTAGCTACACAATGCAAAAAATTACAAATTAATTTGACTGAAAAATAAAGCTGTATATTCAGATAATATTTTTTCACAAATGTCACATTGATTATATATTTTTTGTTTTAAACATAGAAATTTATGCTTCTTTTTCAAGTAGTATAATGTTTTATTATATGTAAAAATAGTTTTTTCATTAGGCTAGTTTTAGTTACAAAAATTTTGTATATGTTATAGAATTGAATAACAGTTTAACAAAAGTGAAGATAATTACCAAAGATGATCGCTTTCCTCTATTTTCAACTTGTAAACCATTCTAGGAGGAAAAATGCACTAAGGTTATTTTGGAGGGTCACTAAGAAATTTGTGTGTTGACTGTCACATTAGAATCTAACAGTTATACAATTTATATCTTCATCTTCTGTTTGAAATTGAGCCAAATAAAGATGACATTTTTGACTGTATCAATCTATTCTTTTCTATTAGAATTAAAAGTGGACATGGTTATAGCTAGAAATTTAATTTGTTCTGTGGCAGACTTAAATATTAAATCATTTAAAAGTATAGTGGGTAATATAGATTTATTGAGCTGTTGTTTTGTATAGGATCAAAACTTTTATAGACAATTTTAGAAGGCTTAATTGAAATAATAGTTAAATGGGTAGATCTAGTTAGATTCTCTACTCATTTGACTACTGGTATTAATTTTACCATTGAACGAACATACTAGCAAGTTTATCGTTTTCTAGATTCTTCATTATCACTTAGTTGTATCAACTTACATAATAAACCCAAACTCCAGCAGTAATGTGAAATATTTACACTGTGGAACAAAAATTTTCAGGGACTTGTATCTCCATTTTCAGGTTTTAAAGTCTGTTGAACATAGAACAACACTTCTGACAAATGTAGAATGATGCATGTAGAAAACGTTTTTTTATTTCTATAGTTTTATGTCTGGGAGCATTTGCATAATACTTTGACACTTGTATATATATATGACAAGCTGCATTCCAGTGTTTGATTAATAGGGCTATCACCCTTTCTATATTAACAATACATATTCACCAAACATTTAATACAATTAGATATATATAAATATAAACATCCAAACCCAATAGTTATATATTAAAGCCGAATGATTGCCTCATTTTATTGGGCTATATTACTACTACTATTGTTAATTAAATGCTAAGTAATGTGGCACTAGAAGCAGGTATTAGATGTCATCTCTTGCTAAATTTAATAATTATAATTAAATGAATATTTTATTAATCTGATTTACCACGTGATCATATTGCTAGTTACACTACCCGAACCTTTGTCCAATTCTCATTTCCAGAACATATTAATTTAGACATAACGATACACAGGTGCTTACTAAATTAATTATTAAAATATTAATTTATTTATAATTATTAAATTTAGCAAGAGATTACACCTAATGCCTACCTCTAATGCCAAATTACTTAGCATTTTATTAATAGTAGTATTAGTAATATAGAACAATATAATTTGGCAACTGTTTGGCTTCAGTTAGATATACAGTTGCCATTCACAGTCTTCAAAATAAGGTCATTGAGGAATTAATTATCTCACATTTTTATAAATACCATGTCTATGCTTTCACTAAAGTAAAAGAATTACATTACTGACAAATATCTGACAACAATTATTGTTTCAAACATAAATAATGTGGGCACCAAACTTTATGTTAGGCGTTTGCCATTTGTTATGCAATTGAGTAAGAGAACATTTTACGTCTGTTTCTAAAAGGTACGTTTACTCTTGCAATACTTAAAACAATAGGCTTTAAGCTCTCATTCTAAAACGAGAAGTTTAAGTATTTCAAAATTTTGTTTACGTTAATTTAAATAGTATTTTAATATTTGTGTGTTAATTTGTATTTAGATTCTTTCATTACTTAACATTTCTTGTTCTATTACAAGAATTTCTGTGACTGAATCTATCCTAAAAAGACTAAACTTTTTTATGCATAATAAAAAATTTGGCTATCCAAAAAAGCAGTGTGAATTTTTATATTTACAATACGATTCCATAAACTTTGCAGTTTAAAGATTTTAATGAGGTTAACAAAATGAGGCTGAGTGTCAGAAATGAATGTACAGTACATCTTAGTTTGGCTTTTAAATTTATTTTAACATTTTGGGACCTGTATGCAGTTATCATTGAAAATGTCAGCTCACAAACCCAAGTTGAGCCAAATTAATATGAGGGTTGGAATTTTAATAACGACAACTCTGAAATTACAATCTGTACAAAAAACATGCGTTTGTCAGATTTTTACTGTCTTTCAATGTAATCATCAGTATCTAATATTTAATTTATACAGAAAATCCAGTGTATCTGAGCTCACTAATTCATTAATAAATACTCGAGAAACTGAATGTCAGTTTCTCGAGTATTTTTGGACAATCAAGTCCATGCTCTGGCTTAGCTGTCAAAGCTAGTTTACAAAAGTAGCAGATGTCAACAACTGGTGCCACTAATTGTCTCTTTTAATCTTCACAATTAAAATGGGTGGTTGGTCAAATCTGTCATCATCATTCAATGCTGCCTTAAGTTTGCTGCTCTCAATCATCGGGTTTTAATGTAAGTTAGTTAAGTTTTAATAACGCAGATTTTCAAGTTTAGTATCAAATATTAATAGAGAGGTTGCAGCCGAAGTTTTCATCTCTAAAATGTGAACGTCGAACATCGAGCTCCTCTATCTTGTAAGCAGCGCTTGACGTTTGATGTTCAGGTTTCAGAGATGAAAACTTCGGCCACAACCTCGCTATTATGTTATGGATTTGATAATGTGTGTGTGTGGAAACGATAATTTTATTACCCTTTTCTGATTAAGTAAATTATACCCATTTTATAAAATTAAGTATTGAAACCAAACTTACATAAAGTTAGCTTAAATTTTTTTCTTTTTTTTGTAGTTTATTGTGGCAGTGAGAGAGAAACTTTGAAGTTATTTCAGGAGGATGGAAAAGTATATACAAATGTACAGTACATAATATTGGGTTAATATTTTGCGATGTTAAAAAAGTGTCCCTAAAATATGTTATCCGACATTTTTATGTTCATTAGTAAATGATAATAAATTTATTTATAGAATTAGCATTAAAGTATTTGGTTTATTTTTTTATGTAGTTTAGTCATCACATATCTTTCCTTATAATCTTCTCTATCACACAGAGCAGCAACAGGCTTATATGACACATTTCCAGTATTGAGGAAAATAAATTAGTCTCACAGTAGACATTTTTATAAAGTGATTAAAAGGACAAGTCGTTAACAATGACATTATTAATAATAATGTCTCTTAATTCAAGAGATCAGACGAGCACATAGTAAGTTGTCATCCTACCAAATTCGAACCTAATTAAAATGTAATGCAAACAGCTTGAGTCAAATGCTGTTTGTAATCCGTTAATCTTTTGTAGTGTCATTGTAAGCTGGGTTACCCTATAAAAATCATTATTTAGCATATGTGTTCCATAGAAAACCAGTTATTTTTAAATTATCCTCAAAGCTGCAGACACCTTTGCTAAAATAGCAGAAAATCTGGCTGCTGCTTTAGGGAAGCAGGCAGATTTATTAGGTTCTAGTCTTAATTAGTTGAACATTGCATTTTACTACAGTTCAAGCCTGCAAGTAATTGACAAAATTGGCCCCAAATATAATATATAATATGTTGCCTTTCTATAATAAATTAACGGATTTTCTTGTAACTTGGACAATTATTCTATTGTTTAGGAATGATTGCGTTAATCTATCCTTTGCCATTTTTTTTTAAACTAAACTATCAAATTAGCAAAATAAGTATAGTATTAACTCTTAAAAAGTATTGTTTTTAAATTTAGATAAAGAAATGATACTAATAGTGACATTCAGTAGTTTAAAGATCAATGGTTATCTTGAACAGGGCTTGAACATTGAATTAGAATGGCCAGCTTGATCCAGGATCAAGTGTAACAAATTTAAATACCACATCCTGAAGAATTCTATAAATATTTCATATAAAAGAGTTTATCTTATGGAAATTCTTAAAGAAGAGATGCTATAATGTAAAATGTTTATCAAAGTTCACTCTGAGTTGTCTTTTCGTATGCTTTATTATGTAAACATGACACATTCTCGTTCACAAAGCAACCTGAATAAAACTAGTCACAGATATTTTAACAAATTAGAACGATCGGAGTGAAGAAAATATACTCCAACTGATCACACGTCGTCGGTAAATATGGATAAGAAAATATACGCAAATCAATTCCACTCTTCCAACGAGAAAAATCACAGAAGGCAATGGATAAGATTTCATCCATGGAAAAAGGCAGTGAAAGTTCAACTCTCGGCCACCGTCTTGCTTCTCTTATATAATCTGGTTCTCCCCTTACGTCGCTCCCCTTCTGCGGGTTCCTTGGAGGCCATCTCTTGATCGTAAAGGCTTTTGCAGGCATCGTTGGCCAATGGGTACATCAGCGAGGTCCTCCTGAATCTTGTAGGTGTGCCCATTTTGTTCATGTCCACACTGGAAGGATCTGCTTGGAAGGCCAGCGCGTTCATGATAATGTGATCCGGCACTACGGAAAGGGGGTGAACTTCTCGCATTAGAACTCCTGCGGGGATCTTGTAAAACTCTATACACTCGAGAAAGTTTGACATGACGTCGCGCAATTCTGAACTGGGGACAACGTCGCAATAACGTTTACTCCAATGGACTGCCGCCTGAAATTTGGTAAGTTCATCGGCTTTCAACTCCTCGCGCGATAGTATCAGTCTAACGACGTGTTGAGGCAACAGGGCAAAACTACCTAATCCCAAAACCTCATTACCGTGAAGATCTACGAACTCTAGAACCTGCAAAGCGTCAAAGTTGTCTTTATTTATTAATTCACAAGAAATTGGTTGATTTAGAACATAGCTTACCTTCTGTACCAGTGATTTTGTACATTTATATTGTATATACTTCTCTGCCGAGGATAGAAGCGCGCAGACTGTATCCACATTGATACAACACTGTACGAAACCCATACATGCTCTTCTCAGCTCGTCGAGTCCATAGTAATCAGCCGCATTCATCAATCCTTTAAAAAAACAAACACCAGTGAAAAAATACGGTCTTTAGGAGTAAAACAGTAATAAGAATCATACCCAGGAGTGTTCTTGCCTGCAACGTAACACATCCCGTGTGTATATACTCGATTAATTGCCGGAAGACGTCAGGCTCGAATTCTTCGACAATCAAAGTTTGGTGCGCATTAAATGGCACCTATATAAGTAAGTTACGCCATAGAGCATCCAAACTGGACTTAAACGAAATAATTGACCTCACCCACCTGCGTTAAAGGTACATTTAAAATAGGCTCACTACTGCGCTTCAGGAATAATTTCAATTTTGTCTCCTTGCTAAAATCTCTCTTCCGAGATTGAATTTCTCTTGGAGCAACTTGCTGAGTGTACAGAATCTTGTGAAACACCCTAATTCAAAGTTTTCCCGTTAGAAAAGATTTTATTGGCTTTAGTTTTTAGATAAATTTCAAAAAACTCACCTGCTTCTCGCCGCCAAAACGGCTTTTACTGCACAAACTGGCTCCCTAGTTTCACCCACCAAGAACGTTACGTCACACAGCTCGGGCATACTTGCCAAAAACTTCATGTCTTCTGCCAGACCGCTCTTATTCTCGAAAACGGAGTAATCTTCAGTATCTTCATTAGATATGAGTTCATCAGACATTTTATTTACCTGTTGATGAGAACGAACACAACAAAATGCTTATTAAAGCTGGTAAAATTGTTCAGATTCCAACGAAAAGTCGATTTTTTTTTTTAAATTTTATGCCCTTAACGTATAACTACAAAGTACAGTGCCATAGGGCTTTCTGGAGAAGAACTCAGGCCCGTGTTCACTTCACAATCAAGGGTCAAGAAGAATTACAGCTTAAGTTATAACTTGGCTTCTTTGAATTGTAGGTAGGAAATCTTATTCTTTAATTTTACTTCTTAAGATAAATTATCAATTGTTAGTAAGGTCAGAATGCCAGACGGGTTTGAGGAAATTCATTGTAAGAACTGGCGATTCCAACGCATCTTTCTAATAATAGATCTTATGGAAACAAAAAACCGTGGACTCAAAGACACAGTTCCTTTACTTTTTTTACATTCTAAATAATGAAAAGCTAATTATTGCGAAAAATCCACGAATATGATCCATACTGAACTCGAGATCAAATATTCAATCAAGTATACCGTTAGACGTTGCATATATCATATTTCGTGTTGGAAACACTTGAATTGTGTGTAATTTAAACAAGATGGAACGTATTTCTTAGAATATATTTGAAGATTTTGTATATTGGCATAAAAATCAAGTTAACAACAACGGTATTTATTATCAAGTCCGACATTTTCGTGCTATTTTAAGAGCATGTATCGGGTGTTTACTAAGCGATTATGCCGAGGGGAATTGAGTTAAAATGGTTTTGCGCGCCATTTATCACGGAAAAATCATATTTTATAACAATTTTTACTTTCGTTTCGATTGTTTACACGCTCGATAGAAAGCGAAGTTAAGTTTTTTTCTTAATTTTTTTATATTTGCCAAAGGAGTACAACTACCTGCCGCCCACCTGTTAGTTCGTAGGCCTAAGATGTTGACATTCTGCGGCGGTTTTTTCGTTATTTTTATCAAAATTCTATCTCTTAACGCCCTTTATCGAACGTGTAAACATCACTCGAGAGTTTAGCACTATTTTAATGGCAAAATTAATTAATTTACCTCCAGTTTCGGGCATTCGAGAGACGGCTTCTCCGCACGACACTTCCACCTCATAACTGTTTATCGATCGTGACGCGTGACCTGCTTTCGTCCTTCTGCCTTTTTTCTTCTTATTTCTCCACTTTAATAACGTTTCGACGTATAAATAAAATATATAAAGGATTAAAAGCGATTAATTTCAATATTTATGCAATACAAATTGTTCTTTATTCTCTCCGATGTCTATTAATCGAATTCTAAATGAACGTAATCCGGCTTAATGCGTTTTAATTAATTAGGTTAATGAAGAACGGGATAGGTTACATTAGGTTATGTAGCGTTGTGACAACAAATTATGCCAATGTATTTCTTTAATAAATTTAATTATTTAACAAATATATAAATATTTTACGCGTATTTTAACAAATTAATGTAATATGAAATGGGTCGTAAATGTACTTCTAATTGTTAAAAATGTCGAAAAGTTTCAAATAATCACGAGGGGCGCTTTGTTCAAAAACCATTTTTAAATTATTAATAAACAGTTTTAATTCAAAAAATAATGTTTTAATTTCACAATAAAACTGTATAATATATTTCTAATTAAAAAACGAATAAGTAATTCTTAATTAGCCTAATTAACTGACTGTGGCGAATTTCCGCTTATACGTCGCCATTTTGATCGAATATGGCCTACATAGATACGAAAATAACATTACCTTTTTAACGATAAAAATTTATCGAATAACTTAGATGTATTTTTAAGATTATTTAATATGGAATAATTTGCAGCTATGAGCATTAAAAAATATATATTTCGGTTAATTGACTTTTGGGCCATTCTACTTGTACTGCAATTGGAAAATGCGCCAAGTTTGCCCTGGTTGCAGGAAGAAGAAACTATTGCTGTGTTTTGTAAGTATAAACCGAACTTGAAAGGAAAATTTACTTAATGTTCAGTTTATATTTCGTTGCTTACTTTTAAAAAATTAATGAATTTTATCTATTTTGTACCCTTTAAGTATAACAACGAGTTGCGTGACTTTCCCTTTGTTATATATAACAGCGAGAGTACCACGAAATATTAATTTTTGATATAAAACACGGAAAATATAAACAGTGGCGCGTTATCCCACGGGAAATTGCCCGAGGACCCCAACAATGCTTTGTAAGAAAGTTTCTCCCGAAAAACGATGAGTCAATACTGTGAAGTTGATAATTGAAATTCGTCTGGGCCCCATGAAGCTCTAACGCGCCACTGATTATGACGATACATATTTGATTAATAACGCTAGTGAATAATAATTTAAGCTTATATAAGAATAATTTCTGATTGTTTACGGTTTAAGTTGGTGACATTTAAATATTAATTCCGGTATTTTTGAGTTAAATAAGCAGCTACGCCCTAAAATGTGTACATCGAGTTATCATGTTATTGTATTCATGTTTGTTCGGGAATTTTTTGTAACGCATGATCGATACGACAACAAAATGGTTACTCAGCCATAGTGATGTCATCAAAAATTCTAATGACGTGTATTAAAGCGCCAGAGGCGAGTAGCGGTTGGTATGTAAACAAACTATGACCAAGCAGACAGAAATAATTTAAAAATAATAAAAATTATATATCACAATGGCACGCCGATGCTATTAAAATTTAATCACTCAACTCGAATATGTATGATTAAATAATTTGAAAAGAAATTTCCCCAATTTAATGCTTAAATCGTGATGCATATAAAATAAAGATTATACGAGAATGCCAGAAACTAGCAATTAAATTTATTTTATACTTAAAAAATATTAAATAATTTACAGTTAAAATTAATACATATTTTGTACGTTCGATTTTATTTTAATTTTTAATTCAATTTAAATTGGTATTAGGAATCCAGACGCGCCCCTGGTGGCGATTTTCCGAGGCAGAGCCAGGAAAGTACTCTATTGCACCATCGTGAGAAGTTACATCTGTGAACGGTTTCTGGCTTTGGTACGTTAATTTTATTATTATTAATTAAATCGAAGTAATTGTTTCTGTGGAATATTGCTTCGTTCTCTCTAAAATTAAAATCTTAAACAATATAAATCTAATTTAGATGATAATTACAATAATCTCGGATGTTATATGATGAACACGTGGTTTTATTAGCTTATTGAGCATTATTATGCAATTAGAAATTGTTTCTTAATCTGATAATTTGACGTGGATATGTTCACAGATTATCTTATTTTTTCAAATAATATAAAATTCCTTACGTCGAATGATGTATATAAAAGAACAAATTCTTCTAAACAAATTGTTCAAAGATTGGATAATTTTGATTGCATAATGGATAATGGTATCGAAGAATGCAACCAAATAGCAACAAGACATTGATAGATTTAATATTCTGTACTGTACATAAAACTTTGGATTGTTTATTCTTATAAGATAGTGTGACAAATTAAATAGAAAGTTAATTTAATCAAATATGTCTTGAGTAAAGATTGCATAAAGGTGGAGAAGTGAAGTATTGTTTGGATGGTAAGATGATCTGATGAAGGATTCATCTCCATTAGATATGAAACTGTAATTTGGTATCATACTCGCAATAATAAAAACTATTTGAAATTTTGGACTCTATGGAATTTCGGTTATTTTTTAAAAGTTGTTTGGAAATTCTCCAAACGTTGTTTCTTTTTCATCGTGAGAAGTTTATATTGCTAATTGTAATTTTGAATTATTGTCATTTCCATTATTTTTTCCTTTTTTGTCTCTCCCTCTTTAGTCATTATGAGAGTCTGTTTTAATTGTACTCGTTGCCACTGGTGCGAAAATTGCAGCGGTGGGATGGCGAGAGATTCGGACTTGACATATCTGAATGAACCGTCCATGAAAAATTTTTTGGGGATTTTTTTGACTCGTCCAAATTTGTTCCCGGATCCCCGGAGTGGTAGGCCGACGCCTTAACTGTTTTGGCCGTCCAGCTGTCTCATCCGCGTCCCTATTCCCTACATTTTGACGGGATGGTTAGGTAGTTGAGAGACCTTATTGTAAACAGGTATAATGTTGTAAGTAGTGAATTGACAACATTCATAATATGTATGCAAATGCCACCAGTAAATATTGTTGGTAAATTAACCATAATTTGTAATGTGTTCACTCTATTTACAGTTTCATCTGTGATAAAATAAGTTTTTTTTACATATCTATGAGTTCACTTTTTAATATTTTATATACCTAGATATAATTTTCCAAGCAGTTAATTATTTAATGGTTAAAATAATGTGAAATATATAGTCTGAATCTCATCAGAAGCATATATGCAATTTCTGGCTTAAATTACATTTTTCTATTTGTATAAGTTTTACTGTTATTTTAATCATTGATTTGTAAACATGAAAAATATTTATTAAAATTGAATGTGATTAATTTTTAATAAATATCTTCTGTTGTCTGATAGGTGGACTTTGACAGGTAGCAACATGGGTGTGGGCTAGAGTATTGCAATACTTTTAATGTTTTAAATGTTTGTGTTATATTTTCTCAAATTGTATATCTTTAAAATGCATTTTTATATGCTTAAATTGTTTGAGAATATTAAATATAGTACAACACGTTTCAAAAAACAAATAAACAATGCTTAAATTGTGTTTATCATATCTTTAACGGCCGATTGCAGAGACAGAGTTTACATTAAACGACGTTTACATTGGCTCTTACTTACTTCGCTATTACTCCCCTGTTTTAGGAGTCGTTCGGCCAATCGGATTATTTCTTCGTGACGTCAGAAATGGTCGAGTGAGTCTAGAAAATAGGTCAAATAACTTGTTTCTAATCGCTGTCTACAAGACAGCGATTNCTTTCAGAATATTCTAAATTAAATTAAATTTAATCAATTTCATTTATAATTATTAAATTTATTGCAAGATGGCAGTGTAACCACCTCCAGCTTGTCAAATAACTTTGTTTTGGTTTATTATTTAGTCTAAAAATAAAATTTCAGCAGATTGGTTAGTATTAAAAGGATGCAGGTTGTATGAATTTAATAGAATCTAGAACATTTCAGATTGCTGATGTAAATACTTCAGAGCCACAAATGTTGGTGCACACACTTAAAAATGTTGCCCATCCCTTCCCTGCTCCTGCATCCGAGAAATTATCTATACAGAATATTAAATAAAATATTTTGTGAGGGTGAATTAAACTTAGAAATTTGGAAAAAAGTAATTCCATTTTTAAAATAATTTTTAGTTTTTTCAATGATTTGTTTAATTACTTGTTATATTTTAAGTATTAATTTCAAGTAATAAAGGATCTATAAAAAAAACTTTCATATAATATAACTGATATTGCTTCTATGATAATCATAGGCAATGTGGGAATAATATATCAAACTTGTGAGAGAGATGTAAGAGCATATTTTTCTCATTAACTGTAACTTGTACATACAAATATAATAAAAAGTATATATNATCTCTGAAGAGAAGTTTGTAGAAGTTTCTGGTTGGTATTTTATAATTTATAGAATTTTATATAATAAAATTCAAGAGTAACAATGCTTATAAACAAACGTAGGAAATATATCGAGTCTGTCGGGATCGGATAGTGATGATGCCGAAAAGTCCGACGGCGATACCAGCAGCAGCGATGTCTACAGCAGTCCTCAACGGAGGAGACTCTCTGTTCTCCCTCATTGTATCAATTCTCCCATGCGACGTGAGAGGTCGGCGAGTGTAACTTCGACTGATACGGAAACAGACGATTCCGAACGTCCGGACAAGAATAGTGTCACGCAGTCTCGATTACAACCGAAACTGTATTTTAGAAACCAGTTTCACAAAATTATTGCTTTGTATAGATGCGTAGTACATGGGAAACAGGTAATAATGGTGTGTTTTAGATACATTTAAATATTTTTATATAAACATTATAAAAGTTTGAAGGTTGTTCTTGCTGTTTTGAATGCTAGTTGTATCCAGTTTATCTAAGGGTCCTGGCAAGTATGATATAAATGCTTGACAGTCTGCTGTCACATACTATTTTGGAATTAATATACTTTTGTGTAATAGCATAAAATAGTATACTCTACATTCAAGCTACAATTTGGCTAGTAGAGAATGGAATAATGCTTCAAATTTTCTTTATTTTAATGTTTAATATATGTGCCAAAAATATCCTTGACAGTAAATAGCATAATAAATATTCATTGTGTAATTTTGAGGATAAATTATATACTAACGATTAAAATTCTCTTGCAGAATGTTCCAAAAAATCAACGGGATTTGTTAAACATGGTAACGGCTATCCCCAATCAAATGTATTGGGCCATTATTTTGATCGGAGGGGGCCATTTTGCTGCTGCCGTATACAATCAGTAAGTTCAGTAAAATATGCATCGATCAGTCTACGAAGAAATTCAAATGTGATAATATCACTTCAGATCCGAAATAATACTGCACAAAACTTTTCATCGCTACACGGTGAGAGCAAAACAGGGAAGTGCCCAGAGCTCTAGGGACGGAAAGCACGGAGGCAGTCAGCCGAAGTCAGCGGGCGCATCTCTTCGCAGACATAATGAGGCATCTTTAGTGAAAGTAGATATTTTCTCAGTATATTTTATGGTAACCAAGTATTCATTTTGAGATGAGAAATTAATTTTTAATATATGAAAAAACTTTATTCAGGAAATTCAGGATTTGTTGCAAAGTTGGAACACTGATTTACAGAAGTGCAGTTGCATATTCTATCGCGCCCCTAGTTTCAACAGGGTCACTCTCTTTAGAGGAAAGAATCCGCCTTTTAAGAAAGATGACTGCCGTTTAAGAAACATCCCATTTCCGACCAGAAGGGCCACTTTTAAGGAAGTGCAGAGAGTTTACAGATTGTTATCGACGCTTGAATGCTTTGGTAAGTCGACTTTTTTATATTGCATTAACTGGTTTGAAGAAATTGACTTATAATTTTGAAAATTGTACAGGAGATGTTTCAGAAGAGGATAAACAAATTCCAAAATCACCCAAAGTGTATTTAGGCTCAAAGAAAGTTAAAAAGAAATCTTCAGACTTGTCTCTGAATTGTGGAAATCTGGATAAAATTCAGGACTCCGAAAACTCGAAGAGTGGAAAACAGAGATTCAGGAAACCTGCAACAAATAAAAAAGAAGGTTATAAATATAAAACAGAAGGGATTGTTCTTGCAGAAGGTTTGTATAATTATTTAATATTTTATTATTTTATAATAGGTTTTATGCAAATTAACTATAATTAAATTTGCAGAAAAGTCAGAATTAAGTGATAGCAAACTGTCAGATTTGGATAACAGCATGGAATTTCAGTTGGTAGAAGAAATGATTACAACGTCAGATCTAAAAGAAATGACGGTACCAAAGCGAAGAAAGCATAAATCTAGGAAGAATTCTCTTACGAAACGACAACAAGATCCGGCTATGGATGTTTTAAGTAAGTACTATATTTAAAGTTTCGTAATTGTTGCTAATTTAATAATTGTTCTCTAAAGATGCCAGTTCTATAAGCATTGAAAAGAAATTGCCAGAAAGTAAAGCAAAACATGTTTCCAATTTGCTGGATGGTCCAAAACTTGGTTAAATGTTATAAAGAGTAAATTGCCATTGTATTCAACTACTTTTTAAACTTTGTATAGAGTAATACAAAGTATAAACTTTTAGTATAAGTTTTTGTATAAACTTTTATTTTAAACTTTGTATAAAGTAATACAAAGTTTAAAAAAAATTTTATTAAATGAGATTATTCTTGTTCCTATAAAAATTTCACTAACAAATTTGGAGGAGGATTCGTATTTGTAAGTGTGTGAAACAAAATGTTAACTGACTTCTGGACCATCGTATATAGTATAGTGTTAATCAAAATTATAGATACATCTTACATTTTTGAACTTAGTTCAGTTATTTAAATTAATATTTCTTTCTATACCAAATTAAAGTACACCTATTCAACACTCTCCATGGAGATATTTAGTAGTCCAAGTGAAGTCAGATTGAAATGGTAACATTTGTGTAAAAAATAATTAGTTCCAAAACTTGGTACTTTTGGCACTATAAGCAGCAAGCATTTTATTTGTACAAGGCATTCATACTATACAGAGACCTTAAGGGTGCGACTATGCAGATGCGAGCGAGCGAATTTTCCGAGAGAGCGAGAATATGTGGCGAGAAGAGGCGAGACATGATAAATATCAAAACCTGTCAGATATGTGCGAGAATCAGAAAGTGCATGAACAGTGTGTTCAATAACCGACTGTAATTGATCCTCTATGATACTTCTCATATGTAGTTTGATACTGTCATTTGAAGCTACCAGATTTTCAATCTGTCATCACACTTTTTAAGTGTTTTCAAAACAAACAAACAACAAAAACACAGATTAAGATGTAGAGAATGATATTGCTAAGATGGTTGGAGATATGTGACTAGACACCATAAAAAATGTAGTTTTTGTGCATTAGAACTTTATAAACACACTAATATTGACATTTTGATAGGGTTTCATTTGAAAGTTTGGAATTTACTCGGCATTCTACAGCTGATTTATAAACATTGAACATTGATGAACAAATTGTTTTTAAATGTTGATTGAATAATGGGATATTTAGTTGTAGCAACACCATATACATATGTATTATTTTGTAACATAAATTACAAATTTACCTATTAATTTCAGTACAAGAAGCCGCTACGAATATAACTAGAATGGAAGTATGAATAGAAATTTTTAGTATCTGTAAATAAAAACACTTTAAGATGATGCAGCAAGCAATATGTAATCAGATCTCTAGTAAAATTAATATTAATATAATATTCTCATATTATTTTAATTGTCATAAATTTATAGGTGAAGAAAACTATCTCATGAAGAGTGCACTGTACACTGCTTGTCAGACAGGCGATGTACAAGAACTAGAAAAACTGTTAAATATTTTGAAAAGTAGAATGTTACCAGTGGATACAAAGAAGGAAGATCTTAATGATAAGTGTAATTCTAGTCAAAACAGTATTACTTTAAGGAATTGTGACAAAGTTCAGACCGAAGAACCCAGAATGCATGACAATAGTACTTCAGATATTGAAATTGAATACAATTCAAATGAAAGTTTGAAGCAGGATGAGACAAAAGTTTATTTTTCTGTTAATGATGATAAAGAAATGAAACTGGATTTCTCACCAGTTCAAGATGGCAATCCAAAGCCAAATAGAATTTTAAATATGGATTTATCTAGTTCAAAACCTAGTAAAAGGCGTAACAAGAGTGGAACGGGAGGCGAATTTAATTCTCCGTTGTTAACTGTCGACGTGCTGAACGAAGTGATAAGTGACGGAGGTGCTACGCTTCTTCACGTTGCCACAAAAGAGGGACATCAAGGAGTAGTCAAGATGTTAATGGAGTGTGGAGCCAATCCTACATTGAGGTAAAATTTATTATCTATCGTAGCAAGAGATCTTATAGCAAGAAGATAATGATATCTTCTAATTATATTTGTAGGGATAAACGAGGATTAACGCCTTACATGGCATCTAATGATCGTGAAATGAGGAATGTGTACCGTCGTTTCATGGCCGAAAATCCCAACAGATTTGACTACAAGAGTGCAGAGGTAGATAAATTCCCATTGCTTTTTACCAACTGTAGATTTATAACTAACAGTTTAAAATGGTATAATAATTAATTTACAGATTCCAAGTCCTTTATCGGAAGAAATGATGGCGGAACGCCTGGAGAAGAAGAAGGAAAAGCAAAAATTAAAAAAAGAGCGGCTGAAGGTATATGTATATGACTTGTATCAAGCAAAAGAATAATCCTTGTTATATAAAATTTAAAATTTTTAACTTGATTATTGAATTATAGGAAAAGAAGGCAGTTGAAATGCAAAAGAAGTTAGAAGAGGAAGAGAAGAAAAGATATCTTTCACTCAGTGACAGAGAAAAGGTACCATTCACTTTATAAAAATATGAATATACAATGTAACATTGCTAAACAGAAAACATTTTAGAGAGCTCTGGCCGCCGAGAGACGCTACCTCGGTCATCTTTCGCAGACGGGTCAACCCACGGTCGTTCTAAGGTACGAATCACTTCACTTTACATTAGTATCGGTCTTAATCTAACTTACTCTGTCACCATTTAGTCGCTGTTTCCAGTGCGGAGTAGACATCACGGGCAAGACTCCCTTCGAATATAACGACAGCAGATTCTGCAGCACGGAGTGCGTAAAGAGCCACCGAAAGTGCGGAAAATCCTGATACCCGTCCTTCCTAATCACTCGCAGCTTTTAATCAAAAACCTCATCGGAATCACTGATTTTATTTTGTTACGAAATCATTTGTTATATACACTTATATACATTTTAAAGCTTTTAATATATTTTATTTGTTTTAAGTCAATGGGAAAAAAAATTAAATTTATTTTTAATATTTGAAAATCAGTCTGAAAAGTTTTTGCATTTAATTAGTTGCAAGTACAACAGATTTGGCTTGTTATTTTATGCAACTTTTTGCAGTTGAAACACTTTCAAAAAAAAGCTAATTTTAAGCAATTCGTAAAGTTAAAGAAGTAGAAAGAAGCCAAAAAAGTGGCATACATCATCCTATTGGTTGGCTTCTCCTCTATACTATCGATTGCCAGATAACGTTACGTTTGAAAGGATGCGTTGCCATTAAGCCGATGAAAAATCAATATAAACACAATATTAATTTGAACAAAATACATTTTAATTAGAAAAAAACACAGCTTTGTTACGCGCAAAATCGTTGGTACAGGCGTTAAAAGCGGGTTATTCGTCGTAGATCACTCCGGAGGAGAGTCGCGCAATAACGAAGTTTTCCCCTTTTCTTTTTGGCCGTTTTTTTACGCGGAAATATGAAAGGATTCGACTTCATTCTCGTTTAGAGGTGAAAAATGACGAAAAAAATGCATCTTTAGTAACCGCATAACGTACGAAGTAGGCAGAAAATGAAGGGAAGCCCTACAACAGGGATCTACGTCATCTACCCGAGTTTCGGTGTTTAAAGTTTTACGGGGGATAAGTTGAAACGATCGCCATGAACGAAAACGATAACGAGGACCCTTCCGATTCCAACACGTTATCCTTCTTGCAGAATTCTGCAGAGAACACCTTCTCCTTCCTGGATCAAGCGGATCAATTGGGCTTTCAAGGAGGCAAATACTTGAGTGAGTAATCTCTGACGTGTACTTTCTACCGATTTAAGAAATTTTAGCCCTTTGTAACGGTTAGAAACACGCGCACTCTTCTTACCTGCCTAGCGTTAAAGAGGGTTTCCACCCGTTCTCCTATCCACATTTAACGCAGCTAACTCAATTTGTTCAGCAAAGAAGGAAATTTAATTAAGAAGTGGTAGTTGCCATGGATACCTCATATATTGGTCTCTATGACGACGCTTGTTTGGTTTCCAAAGTTCATTTAAATTAAGAGCAATCCTCGGTTGATTCCGCATTCGGAAAACGATTCGAAATTTTCGGCCATTTATTTTTTCTAGCGGAAAACCTTCACCCATTACCAGGAACCCCCTTGTTATTTCAAAGGTAGGGTGTTTTCTCGTGTTCGTAAGAAATTTCGTTATTGTGTGATGTGTTTAAACAAAGTACAGTGGTCCCCTCTCACCAGGAAATTTGCTTACACTTTATCACACGGTGCCATTTTCCTAATTATATTCCTATTCCCGTTAAAGCGTGTGTTAGATAGATGGTATAAGGCAGCTCGACACGTGGGAGATCTACCCATAGAAGATGCCTGTCGTAGGACTTTTTGGGTGTGAGAAATTGGCCCTATTCGGGTGAAGAAAAGTTGCACTCGACTAGCCTGTTAGTGGGGTTATCCGCTCGACTATTGATGACGAAATAATTTAGTTTCCTTCTAATATAAAGCTATGTTGTTATACTGAAATAATAAAAGTTTTACTAGAAAACATGTTGAGTCCGTGAATTTGAGAGAGGAGGTAGAAAATGAAAGGAAAAATCGAAACTTAATGCCACAGTTTTCTAGCTGTTGAGTTACAAATGTTGTGCACAGAAGACACGAAAGATTTCCAGATCCTTAATTTGCTCTAAAATGTTTTATGTATAAATTTGCTTAATTTTGTTCTAAAATGTTTCAGTATAACTGACAAAAGCCCATCAATAATTATCAGTACAGTAGACCCCCCCCTATAACGCTTAGATACGTTCCACGTTATTCGAATTTTACGTAGTAGGAATCATTAAGTACATGAGCCAATCGCAGCCCGACACGTGTGAAGTTTACGGACTAAGGCTGTTTGAAAGGTTTTCTTCTATAAAATTAACCGATTCTAGACTAATTCCACTCAACATTTCCAAAACACGTATAATTTTTTTTGGGAATAATCCGTATAAACTACGCTATAAACAAAAAATTGTAGGATTACTTACCGAGTGTGCACCGTTCGACTACGCCGTTGCTCAAGCTGGTTTTCGTCGTGGAACAGCGCACGAAATGGCGGCCGCGATTTCTGATAACGAATTTTTCGCAGAAAAATAACTTGAACTTTGGAGACATCATTAATATAAATAATTTTTATGGCCGTTGAATAAGAAATGTTTCGTTCACAAGAATTGTATAAAATTAGTGCTGTATTAGACTTACGGTACCTAATTTTCATACTGTACAGACGATAATAAACTCAACTTACTAGCCTAAACTCTCGGTAGCGTGGCGCTAGATGACGGAAAGTATATATATAATTATAATAAAGTTACAATAAATTAAGTTAATATATAATTATACATACAGTAATTAATTTATATATAATTATATATAAATTAAGTACTGTACATATAATTATATATTAATGCTGTACAGACGATAGCAAATTGAATTTAGCCGCCTAAACTCTCCGTAGCGTGGCGCTGGGCGGCGGAAAGTAGTTCGGCTGCTCGTCCACTATTGTTCCAGATTCGACCAATCTTGTCGCGACAGGAGTCGGCGACGACGTTTTGCGAGTCACTTTATACGAATACTGCTACAATTTTTTCGCTATGTTACAGGAATTTCCGTTATAGGAGAAACCCACGTTATAGGGGGGTCGACTGTAGTTGATTTTTGATGTTTTTTCATATGCTGCAAGTTGAGGATTTCGTTTCTACTCAGTATTTTTATACGTTGTACAAAAATAATTTAGTGTTATTAAATATTAATTATTTTGATTACGTGAAATGTCAAAGAATTGAAGAAAGGTTTATCTGGTTTGCTTTGATGGGATGCCGCAATGCAATGCGTGCGATCTGCCTAGTGGGAAGAGGACTTTCTATGGGAATCTACTCCTACTGAGATGTTAAACACATCAACAAATTCCTGAAATTTCCACAGGACCATACCTGTTTTACGAAAGATTTTTTTGTCTCGGAAGGCCACTCGGCAAAGAAGGGCGAATCCGCGAAATTTGGACTTGCCAGTGGCCGAGTGGATAAAACTTGGTAGTTGGTTGTAGATCCAACTCGCTAATATCAGCAGTCCATCAAAATTGATGGACTGCTGATGTTAGCGAGTTGGATCTAATGATGCTGATGATGGAAAACGACAGGAGAAGAACAAAAGGAAAGGTTTTACTTTGTGAAAAAGTTGTATTGTATATTAAATGTAAATAACCATCGACCATGTTTTTATTTTTTTTTACTATTTTTACCGAAATTTATAAACATTTTTGTAGACTTTTCTGACATTGCTTCCTCATTGAATAACGAGTTATGTAGCTTTCAATCCGCCGTAGAAACGGATAAGCAATCTTCTGTTGATGAAAAACGTGAAGATTCTCAAACAGTAGAAGTATATAACTCGGAAAGGTAAGTTTTATAACTGAATCATAAATAGAGGAGCTTAGATATTGAGAGATGTCTCTCTTTTAGCCCATCAACCAGCAGTGGAAAGAGAAAACAGAGAAGATACAGAACCACTTTTACAAGTTATCAGTTGGAGGAACTGGAGAGGGCATTTCAGAAAACTCATTATCCAGACGTCTTCTATCGTGAAGAATTGGCTTTGAAGATCGATCTGACTGAAGCAAGAGTGCAGGTATATTCTATTATATCTGTATCGAGATGCAATGGTTTTAACTAGATTACAAATTTATACATTCTTCTTAAAGGTTTGGTTTCAGAACCGAAGAGCAAAATGGAGAAAGCAAGAGAGATTAGTCAATAAGCATCAGTTTTCACAGGAGGGTGCGGAAGTAACCGAGGCATTACTGAATTCTTCTTGTGATACGGATTTACTTCAAGAAGTAGAAAGTAAGTTTCCCATACGCGTGGTGTCTTTCACAGTGGACGATTTTAACAATGGCATATTTTCAGGCGCGTTGTCGACTCACCAAATGGATCTTCCCGCTCTTTTAGTGGATCAACCTTCATCCACTACTTTTACTTTCCCCTTATCCAACGTTTATCTTCCTGGCAACATCAGCATCGATTGGAGCCACTTTTGCCACAGTCAGCATTTGGCCTGTTTGGCATCTCAGGAACCTCTATCCAACGAAACTGATGTAGTGAAATTGGCTTTGGCGGCCGCAGAAGAGAATTGTGGATCTCTTCTGGATGCCCCTTCCCCGTGTGAAGAGAAGTTGTGCCTAGAGGAGTATTCCTCTTCCACCAATACACACTTTAATTTACCATCTCTGGAAGGTTGCGCGCTCTTGGATGCTGATCCAAGTTAACTCGTTGTCAATCTTTTTTGAGGATTATTTATTTTTAGATTAAATAAACCATCTTTTCTTTCTAAAATATATTTTTGGATCATTTTCCTCTCTGAATTCTGCTTTTTCAATATTAACAGTTCCTAAAATATGAGATAAAGGGTGAATACTCGTAAACGGATCATCAACATAAACATTAAATGGAGAACCTTTCGGTGTATATGAATTACTAAATATACAGTTTTGCATTGTACTTGACATTATCACCAAATCACGTGAATTTCAAATACTCTAACTAGAGCTTGTGGGTAGATCTCATTACTATATATATACAGTATACTTGTATATTGTTAGTCGAGGTACTTCCGTTTAGTTCCATTTGAGGCGAATAAACGACAGCACTAGAGGTTCAGCCGAGAAGGGCACACATACCATGTGTATTCGAGTTAATGGGTTTAAAATAGGGTTGATAAAAAAATAAAATACAAGTTTTAATACATACAAAACAAATCCGATTAAATTACAAATATTTGTGTACATAAAAACTCTATAAACATAATAAAAGTCACTCTACATTCCCGTTAGGTGACTTCTCCCTGGAGGAAAGCTCCATACTGTCTTCGAAGGCTCGATTATGGATTCCTTCTGCCTGAAGGTCTTTACCTGGTACAATCTGAAATTTGATTACGTGTTAAATTAAACCTTTGGTAAATCGATAAGAATTGAGGCAATGAGTTAATCTTACTTCGTTCTTGAAGCGCTCCATCCCCAATTTCTTCCTGACTGAACGAGGTAGAGAAGAAAATATATCTCTGACAACGGGCGACAATAAATTGACGTCCAAGTCCTTTGCTTTTGTGTACCCTGTGAGGAAACTTACTAAAATCCCTACTATTACTGCTACTATACATCCGATAACGCTGTACCACATGTATGACACTCTGTACAGTGGGAAGATGTCTTGGCTGCAAGAAATAGCTGTTAGAATAGGAGGAGGAAGATTATGAAAAGCGAATTGAGTGCCACTTACTTTATCGTTGATCTGGTTGGCTGAGTGAAGTTTGATTGTGAAGTAATGTTCAAGTATAGAGGTAGACAATCTTGCACAGAAACGGGTAACTTTTCAAAGTAAGGTTTGTAAATGAAAGCGCCTATGCCCATCCAAAAGGAAATGCCCAAACCGGCCAACACACCTGCTAATGCGCCCTAAAAAGTAAAGTTTATGATATCATTTATGTGAGAGCTTTCTAATTCTCTATTGTCTATGGTTTCAGGAGAGATTCTAGTATAGGAAGGTTAACAGTGTACACACCAAAAATTTCACGCAACTAAAAGTTATGCGAACGAATGAAAGCATTCTATTGAGAATGATGGCCAAATTTTTCGGCCGTTTTGAAGGCAATTACAGAAGAATATTCTAAGAGTTGGCACCTCAAGAGCTGCTATTTATCTCAAAGAACAACAACAATCCCACATTACCTCATGCTTTTTCTATAGTTTGGAATAATAGCATTTTGGATGCTGCTGAATGTATAGATAACTCTTCGAGTATGAGTGTGTACTTACCGTCGAATTGATCCAAGGAAAGAACATTCCCATTGTGAACATGGATAACATAGGACCTCCGACCATACCAAAAATACTAATGGCAGCCTGCAACGATAATTAAATTAAGTTTTACTTCAATTAAATGTCGAATTGCGAACGTGAATTAACTTACACTCAGTATGTTTCCCATTTGGCGTGCCACAAGAACCAAAAGAATGGCTACAATTCCATACAAGAAAGCTAGAAATAACAATTAAGAATACGTGGAACACGTGATTGCGATGACAGATTAAAATTATGAACAGTAATTACCTAGAATTTTCGAAAGTCTCGTTGCCGAAATTTCAGACAAGTCGGGTTTAATGTAAGTTTTGATCAGATCCTCTAAAGTGATGGCCGCCAAGGAATTAACACCCGAGGAAACTGTGCTAAGCGCTCCACTGAAGACCCCGGATACGAAGAGTCCGGGAATTCCGGGAAAATCTCCTAATATCTCCATGACAAATAAGGGAAATAACTGAAAACGGAAATTTATTAAGCTTTAGAAGGGCTGCAATTCGATGTAGAGATGGTTAAATGACGTCGATATTCACCTGATCCGGAGCGGAGACCCTTTTCACCATCATAGGATCGCATCCATGATATTTGCCATAGATAACCAACCCGGCAAGACAGGCTAATGACGTCAGCAGAGCTAATCCAGGTAAATTGATCCAGATCGTCCTTTGAGAAGTAGAAAATTACATTCGATAATTCATAATTATGTTGATAAAGAAAGGAAATTTTTCAGGGAAGGAAGAAGGAAAATTACCTACTTCTGAGCAGCCTTGAGGGAGGGCAGTGCCACATAACGCTGGATCATAGCTTGATTGCATCCGTAAGTGGTAACCCACATAAAATATCCTCCGATGGCTAAGTTCCATACAGTGTGACGTGTGGTGACGTCTGTATCGAAACTGAAACGTAGGATAAGATCTGTGACATCAATATTCATCAATGCTAAAAATAAATGAAAAACGTCATACTTGAATAGCTCTATTCTTCCCGAATCGGCACTAACTTTGAAGACGTGCCTCATCCCACCGATATCGGTTGCACCCTTTGCAACAACGGCTATCATAGAACAGTACATCATTATCACCTGAAACAGGTCGGTCCATACCACAGCTTTCAGTCCACCCTGAAATTAAACAATTGCTCGTCACGTGGAAAAACCGTTTCTTTGTTTGATACAAGGAAACAAACATTTTTTTTTTCACGTCTGGACGAGGAAATACAATCACTTGTTACCGAGTGTGGGGAATTTTCCCTTAATAGCCTTTTAATTATGGTAAAGAACTGTCTCGTTACTCGTCATACCACAAACGGTAAAGTATCAATTAGTAAGGAAACTAAATTTACAACCGGATAATAGGGAGAGGTTTCATTTTTCAAAGCTCATAAATATGTAAGTTCTCAGAAAATATTATTGTCACGAAAATCGTGAATGTATCGTGTCCTTACGTGGTTTTGTTTCCCAGAAAATTCGAGTAGAAATCCTTTTCTTTGCATACTTACTATTGTTGTGTAGAAGGTGCATACTAGACCAGTGGATAACACTGCGAACCACAGACCAATTCCAGTAACTGGAAGTAAAAATAATTCAGTTATAACACGTGAAATTATACACAGTAAAATCTTAGTTTTTACTTAATTAGCATAACTTGTCCAGCCATTTCTATAAATAGTGGCATAGTTTTCGAGGGGGGAGGAGGTTTAAGAAATGGCACAGTTTGTAGACACGGAATAGCTCGTTAGAATTTAAAGAAACCTCGCAGCTTATCCAAATTACACACACGAATACGGACATATTTTGTCAATAAATTGCACGGTTTGCCAAGAAGTTACGCAATTATTATCTATGGAAGTTATAAATAATTGAAGAATTCGGGGATATTAGGAAACTGAATGCCTAAAAAATGGAGTCCGTAAACATCAATTAATCGAAAGTTAAGTGTGGGTTGTTAGGAAACTTAATTTGTGATCGAGTTATGGTAAGTGGAGCGTGTCCGTGCGAGAGATCACGTGGCAGAGAGGATCCTGTCGGTCCCAGAAAGTGATGGGATGGCTGGCGGCGTTTAAAATTGCGTGATTTGTCTCGAAAGGCATTCTATCTAATGATAATTGAGTCGTAATTAATAACCACGTGTAATAATGATAAACGAATATGATATAGTCTATTTGTTACCTAATATGGTCTAGTTATCTTCGTAATTTTTTGCCATCGTAACGTGACTAACGAGAGTTGGAACCACACGGATTTTTCGTGTATTCGACGATAGAGTAATTCACGCGGTCATTATCAAGGATGGAACTACCTGTATCACGAAACGGAGCGAGATGTGTTCTACTCGACCCCTTGTTCTAGAATTAGCGTGTGCGTATTTTGTAAAAAGTGTCACGAAAGAATTCGATATCTGCTGTCGTAACGTTTTTTCCAGTCGAAATAATTCGTCGAAACGAGGATGAATTAATTCACCACCCCCTCCAACAGATGGAAACACGAGAATTTTGCAATTTGTATAGTTATACGTCAATGTGTCAAGTGCAGTAACTTACCTTGGGAGAGAGCCAAGGATGGAGCGTAGAGGACAATCGCCATATACATCAGCTGTAGGGAAATTAACAGCGTGTTACTAGTGTCATATAGAAATTCGAGTATAGAATAGTTTTACTTACCATGTTTAGGGAAAATATGGTAGATGCTATAGATCTCAGTATTCGATTGAAGCGTAGCTGTAGATACTGCAAATATAGAAAACCAGTTACGCGTTATCCACATTTTAATGTTACGTTATTCGATCGCGGTTTCCCTTTACAAGAACACAAATTCCATCGCTCATTTCTCGTGTTACGCTATCGGAGATTTTAAGAGAATTATTAATAATTTACTTTCAAATTAAGAAATTATCTGTAGAAAGTCATTAAAAAGCAGTCTGATTTACTTGTACTATTTCTATTATTGTGATGTGATGGTAACACGGAGCCGTTATCGGCTCCGTGTTACCATCACAATAATAGAGCTCATGAAAGTGAAGCTCCATTTACGGGTATGCATTAACAACCGCGATTCTAACACACTGTATACAATGAAGGGTGTAAAACTATAGGTTGTATTGAAAACAATAGTTTAGGACAACTCTTGTAGTAAGAAAACAATAGCCTAAAAGCTCTTGTGGAGAATACAGAAGTCTGGAAGAACTGTGTGCCTTACTTCTAATGCAACACTTACTTTCAATTTCGGAAGTAGTAGCATTTAATTTCCGGTTCATATTTCCGGAAAGGACCGGAAATAAAATGCTACTACTTCCGAAAAACAAATCAAATACAATTACGATTGCATTTTTGAGGGAATTGAAGTTTTACGCTTCATTTCTTAACTCCAATAATGAAAGACAACGATATAAAATAGCGGCTTTTTTCAGTTTTTAGATGAGGAAAATAAGTGAAAACTGTGAAAGTGATAATGCAATAAAAGTGAAAGCCAAACTCGATACAGTTAAAGGTAAAAGTAGCAGAAATATTTTACTAGATATTTAATTTCTGGTAATATCGGATTACGGACGATCAGATTAGAATTAAATCTTTCTGTACTTTAAGTGATAAAAAAAATTCGATAATGTTTAGGAATTTCATCAGCCAACAGGAAACTAAAAGAAATATTCTTTCTATTCATTGGATTATACACGAAAATGTAAGGTCTATCGTCAATTATTTAAGTGATTATCCGTTACGACACACGATTGTTATTGATTTAATAGCGAAATATCGAGGGAAATGACGTAAAACTTTCGTGACACGAAGAATAAAATTTTTATTGAAACTACATCCGTTCATTCTGTGTATAAAGTAACAAAAATAATGAGGATGATCGACAAGGTCGGGGTTAGTCGAAGACGATGGAAAAATCCACTTTTTTTTTGTTTTGTTTTATTTTTGCTCCATCACTCCGTGATCTTAATATAATATTTTGTAACGGCGACTCCACCCTTTGTATCAATATCGGTTAGGGAATAAAACTTCCTGTTTTCACGATCGTTAAAAGTTTGCGTAACGTTTCGTTCTCTGGAATGGAGGAAGGAGGAAGCAGAACTTTTTAGTGTGTAAGTAATTTAAAAATATCGCGCTCGGTACGGTTCTGTCTTATCATTTGCCTTCTATAAAGTCAGCCTCGCTGCCTCCCTTATAGGGAATTCAACATAATGGAGTGAATTACTAAACATTCGATGACTGGCGCGATGAAGATCGTTTATGAAATTCCTAATTTCGGGAAAATTTAAGAAATTCCAGTTGGACATTTAGATAAATGCTATAATTTAATAATAGTATTGTACACTTGTACGAGTTTGCCACTTATAATAGGGCATTTCGATCAAAGAATAGTTCTGAAACTATCGCGTGAACACTTTAAACCGGTAAAGACCGAAAAAACTTCGTATTCACACGTAATTTTTGAAATAATATTAATTAAATTTTGTAAGATGAGCCTCGTATTTTCATATAAACAAATGAAACAGCCTGCCAGCCATGTTGGTGGTCAAAGTTTCATTTCAAAGTGTATATTATCGATTCTTCCAAGGACAATTATGATCCAATTCTCATAACTTTAGGCCCTGGGCTTTCTAAAGAAGGGTCCATAAATTGCCTTAATCGAGGAATTGTTTAATACGAACATCCTTCATCACGGTCCATCATCCTCGGATCCTTCATCCCACAGAATCAGAATAAAGATGCTCACGCGCTATCATTAGGTGAGTTATGAGAAAAATTATGAGAAGGACTTGTTACACGAGTTGTTAAAAACCTGTAAATTTAATTACGGGGCATTTTAAACACTAAGAATATAAGAGAAGGGAATTCAAAGCCATATTTTAATATTAACGTAATCTAGCGAGGAAAAAAAAGGAATAATATTAGATAAGCGTAACAGTTACGGTGTTAAAGCGTGAAGAAACCGCAAACCGTTAAGACGATAACAGAAAAATACAGTATTGTTACGCTGGTGGGACTTACCTCGTGAGCGCTGGTGACTCCCAGATTGTAGAAGACCGGAAGATAAAGGTAAGCAGATGCGGGTATCATCATCAAGAAGCCAAGACAACACACGACGAACATGGTACCATTCTGGTACACCTCGGCAGGTACACCGAGAATGGTGACGGCCGACAGGAAACTGGCTAAAACGGACATTGCTACAGGGAAGACTTTCATGTTCCTGTTACCCAGGAGGAATTCTTTGGTTGTTTTTTGCTTGTCTCCGCTGCACGCATAGTAGATTCCTATGGCAGCCGATACCAACAACATGGCCACGAACACCACGTAGTCGACGATACCGAAGCGCGCCACATCAACCTCGACCATGGTTTGATACTAAACGTAAACCTGTCGCAACTTTTAAGTACCCGCGACGCTCCGATGGTACTTCCTGAGAAAAAGCCGACGGGTCTAGCAACTTTAGTACCTCTATCCGACGACAGATGGTGATAGCGAAGAAGGCAAGGTGTGACATAATTTATCCGGTTTCTCGCGTAACGCGTAAAACCTTTAGGTATAATTTTAAGAAAAAATTACTCGTCACATGCCTTAACTCGCTAATTAGCACGGATAATCGGGTGTGGCACCCCCTATTTATTCTAACACCAACGTATCACAATTAGTAGAGGTCAATTGAAGGTTCTTATCTAGAAGGGTTAAAGGTATAATCGGGTTTTTATTCATCATTAGGACATTTAACTTTGCGTGTAAGAGAACGAGTCCGGTGGCTATAATTATTAAGCGCTTTATTTAACATTAAATAAGAAGTTGGAGGTGAAAAAAAGGGTGCAAATCTTCTACGTGAACTGCTCTATTCGGGGGTTGACGTAACCTTACAAACGTGTTTGCTTCTCGTGTTTGACGTCGTCTTCGTTTGTGACGAAACCACTGTTGGATATGCCATTACGATCCTTGTAATCATCGTCTTCCTGTAATGAGTGACGTAAACGGGCTTTTAATTGTGACGTCACGTCAAAAGCCGTATTCTACGGGTCACCGAGGTGTAATGACGTCAGAAAAAACTGACTTTTCTTTTTAATTCATTAGAGTTTAGTGTTATTTTTGGAATTTGTAATCCATAAATAGGAGGCGAGTAATTGTGTTTCGGTTATTGTTAGAAAGAAAAGAAAAAAAAATTACGATATTTTAAACTTTGTTTTTTCATTCAGTTCATCCTGTTACGAGTTAAACAAGTCTTTAACACGTAAAAATATACTTTTAAAGCTTTTTTTTTTTTCTTATTATTTACTACAATTTATTAACTTATAAAAGGCTCTAAAATGGCAATTTTGCACTTTAAAACCACCCAAAAATTGTATTTTTAATTATAAAACAGTTAAAGAAACACATTATTATTTTTTACTAACATAAAATCCTATTTTTAATGCTCGTACACTATATATTAGTATTGTTATACTCTCATTAAAATACAAAAACCTGTTTGATTCCTGCAGAATAATGACTTATTTTCTTTTAAAAAAGTACCTTTTTTTACTTATTTAATACGAGAATTTCGTTTTAAACTCGCTTAAAACGTTTCCTTTTTGATTATTTTCCCAGCAAAAAACGTTTATTCCCAGTTTTTAAAGCTATTTTACTGTATAAAAGGCTCCTTTTTCCATACGTTTAGCCATTACTCGCCACATATTTCATGTCTCAATTCCTCTATTAAAATACAGTACTTTAACATTATCTATTATTTGCAAGCTACTAATTTTCCACTCGATAAAAACTCGTAAACTCTCGACACAATACCAGATCGTCTCATTAATTGTAGTTCACGTTCGGTGCGTGTGTCGCATACAAGAAAGACAGCTAGAGTAAGTATTCTCAGAAGGGAAAACATTAGAGTAGACTTACTTTTTGTTGAAATTTCGGTCTTATTGGAAGAGGTAGGAACTTGTAAAGGTCGACAATAGGTGGAGAAAGAAGTTTACAAGATACGTCTTCGGGTTTCTTCGCACCTATGTAAAAAAACGGCGTATATTTAGAACAAAATACAGTCGACCCCCCTATAACACTGTTGATTATTCCGTTTTATATGAATTCCATGTTGTACGAGTCACTTAGATTTTACAAATACGTGAGCAGTTCACAGCCCGGCACACGTATTTGTAAAATTTGAATGACTCGTACAACATGGAATTCATATAAAACGGAATAATCAACAGTGTTATAAAGGTATCACCAATCGCTTTGAGAAACAAGATGGCGGCGAAATGACTATTAAGACATTATTTTTTCCGTTTTTTTTAAAACTTTGTTAAGAAAATCTGTTGATTACTTCCGTATATAATATAAGAATATGCCAAAAATTTATATTAATTCGGGACCATACACGAAGATGAATTTTTCAATGATTCATGGTTTTTTGTAAGATGTAATTGGAATATTGGAACAACTCCAATATGCCAGAAGTGAGAAGGGAGCAATCACTCGAAATAATAAATAGTAGAATATTTTGATTGTTATATAATTCAACAATTGCAATTTATACACAAACACGTTTATAAATTATACAGAATTTCTCTGGAAGTGTTTAATATGTGATCGTCTGTTTACATGCCACACGGAGAATTGGAAAATATTTATAATTAACATAAGATTTGGTTATGTAATTCATTAAAATACGATTTTACAACTTAATTTGTATACAAAACAATAAATTTTCGGGTAATTAATGTTTTTATGAGTGTAAATGAGGAGTCATTTACACTCATAAAAACATTAATTACCCGAAAATTTATTGCATTAAATGATATTGTAATTCATTTGTCTTTTCTTCAATTAAAATAATCAAGAAGGAATTACTAATAAATATCATTGTCCAAACGTTATATATAGCCTATATATTATATCTTTATGGCATACATACTTCGTTTAGAATGTGTAACTGATTAGAAGTGTGTGTACACCCTTTGAAAGAAAAGAGAAATGCTATTTAGTAACACATAAATATATATAACTCCTATGGTTTTAGAAAGAAAAAAAAACACTATATAGAAGCTATTCACCTTTCCTTATACTAGGAAAATACGAGTGGATACATTCGTACAGTTATAATTTGTTTTCTTGAAGCTATATTGTCTATAGAACTGCAGTTACACACGTACACAGAGAGAGAGAGAGTGAAATACTTTTAGTACGTAAAAATATACTAAAAAGAAAGATAAATAAATAACTTATTACTGAATTTACCTGTTATCTAAGGTTGCAGTAACAAAAATTATGGAAGAATGTTTTAGTCACGTGTTTGCACAGTCGATAATCTGTCTGTCACGCTTTATCCACCAAGTACTTCGATAAAATAAAAATATTATCTTGTATAACCTTGATTTTCATTGTAAACAATACCGTGTAAATAGTTTATTTCTGTAGATATTTTTACTATTTTTTAATCTGTTATTTTTCATTAAAACGTGGTAACAACAACAAAAACATCTTATACATTGTTTACAATAAATTTATTTTCACAGTTCAACAGACAAAACGCCAGTCATCCTTGTCATACTTTCAGAAATTACCTAGCGAATATATGAAATTTTATTAGACTAACCTGTACAAAAACTGACTATTAATCCTACTATAGTACACCAGAGACACCCTATGACGCTGTACCAAACGTATGACACTCTATACAGAGGGAATATATCTTGGCTTGGGGGAAAAAAACAATAAGTTTTAGCAACACGTTGTGACGTAGTAGTGAATAAATTGTTGAAATCAACACTTACTTTGTGCGCACAGTTGTTGTATTGTTGCGAATGATAGTAGTGACGTTGAGTAGAGCTTCTGAACACCCTTGTATCGATACAGGAGCCTTGGGAAAGTAAGGTTTGTATATAAACACTCCAATCCCAATCCAGAAAGAAACAGCTAATCCACTTATTAATCCAGTAGCTGCTCCCTTGAGAAGGAAGTAATGTAAGGATATTAGTTTTATATAATAGTGTGGAAAGTTAATAAAGAAAGGACCAACTTCTACTATAGATACTATCCATAAATCCGTTTTTATGCAACATAATCTTAACTCACCGTGCTGTTAGACCATGGGAAAAACATTCCTAAAGTGAACAAACCTAGTAGAGGTCCACCAATCATGCCAAAAAGACTCAAAGTAGCCTTGAGATAAAATATAAACAATAAATATGACTGATTTTAATGTATTTACTACTCTGTGTGACATTTACCTGAAGTACATTTCCCATGTATTGAGCCACTATAACTAACAAAATGGCCACTATACCGTATACCAGAGCTGTAATACATTAATAAAATAAATAAGAACAACGAGTATATTATTTTTTTAAAAAAATTCTTAACACATTTACCTAATATTTTGGTGAGTTTAGTCGCTTTACTCTCCGTTAAATCGAATTTGAAGTAAGCTTTTATGAAATCTTCCAGAGTAACCGCTGCTAAAGAATTAACTCCTGAAGAAACAGTGCTGTGAATAATAATCGTAAAAGGATTAAGAAAAGAAATACGACACGCGTAATTAAATACTTCTAAAACATTTGTACAATACCTAAGAGCACCACTAAAAATTCCAGAAACAAAGAGACCGGGCAATCCTGGAAAATTTCCTAGAGTATCCATAACGAAGAGGGGGAACAACTGAAGAAAATATCAATGCAAATGCTTAAGATTAGAGTCATTTTCTTCTAATTGTTCTAATTGTAATTTGTTCTAGTTTATTGTAATAAATAATTTGCACGTTTATTCCAAAATGTATACCAGTTACCTATTTTTCTAATGAATCTTTGTTTGTTGGATACATCAAGCACCGTGTATTTAAACTATCATAAACTATAAACACTGTATTGCAATTACTGTATTTGAAGGTAAATGAATTTACTCAAAATCTAACGTAATGTTACCGTTTAAGACCTAGTTTCGCGGCGCTACAATCGACAGGTAACGTGGTGGTGGTTTCTACTGTATATAAATAGTACACTATACAGATACCCAATTAGATTCTGTTCTAGATGAAACGATGCACACTTAAACACTTAGAACAAGCTCTTTAGGGTATTTATATCACATTATGTTTATTTACTGACACGATTTAATACCAGTAATTACTTAAATTATAAATTTATTGCATAATTTTAATAATTACCTGATCGGGTGCTTGAACTTGTTTCGTTAATATCGGATCGCAGTCGTGATATTTTGTGTATACAATCAGACCAGAAAGACCACACAAAGTTAGCAGCAGTGTCAAAGCAGGTAAATTGATCCAGACAGTTCTGAAAGATTTATATTCGTAAAATACGTCTCAAACAGTATATCCAAGATATACAACTTACTTCTGAGCAGCTTTGAGAGAAGGTAGACTGAGGTATCGCTGTACCATAGCTTGATTGACTCCATATGTCGATAACCACATGAAGTATCCTCCGACTAGAAGATTCCAAAATGTATGTCTTTGTCCGATATCTGTGTCGAAACTACAAATATTTCTTGTGTAAACGTAGTGTGAAGGCGGTTATTTAGGTTAAATTGAGAGAATTACTTAAAAAACTCGATCCTCTTTCCGTTTACGCTGGTCTCCCAAACTTGTCTCATACCTCCCACGTCATTGGCACCTTTGGCTACTACGGTAAACATGGAAATGAACATCATGAAAACTTGAACCAGATCGGTCCAAACTACAGCTTTCATTCCTCCCTAAAGAAGAGAAACAAGGCCCGGTATAAGGAGTTGCTCAAAATGATAAAGGAAATCCAACGATACTCACGATTGTGGTGTAAAATGTGCAAACAATACCCGTCGACAAGACAGCGAACCAGAGACCAATACCTGTAACTGAAATGTTTGAAAAAAGAAATGAGGTGTTTACAGTGTTTTGATCCTTATGCAAGCTTCCAGTAATTTAATCCTCGTTCAGGAAAACGTGTCACAACTCCGGATGCACTAAACGTCACGCAAAGCGTCAAACCACTACACTTACCTTGAGACAGAGCTAGAGAAGGGGCGTAAAGTACTATGGCCATGTAAATCATCTGAAAACAAAATCAAATTAGTGGTGTAGCCAATTAAGACTTCTATGAGGTAATAATACTTACCATTTGAAAGGCGAAGACGGCAGAAGCCACGCTTCTGATATACTTGTTAAATCTTAATTCTAGGTACTATAATGTAAAGATGAGTATCAATTGAGGGATAAGGTTTATTGTTTTGAGAGATTTTAACATTAATTAAGTTTAGAACGACTCAGTATATAAATATATAAAACCTGTAGGATTGCATTTATCTAAAAAGGAAAAGCGTTAAGGAATATAAATATATCAAAGAATTATAAAAACAGGAGGATGTAAAATATAGAAATAGCTTATGGGCATTAAATAACTAAATTTCCTCACGTTGTTGACATGTAATTCGTAGAATTTAGAAAATCAGAAATGAGGAACATCTGTGTCCTCATCTCTGATCCATTGCATTTCTGATGTTCCTCATTTCGTAAAGATGAGTAATCTGATTTGTTTAATGTTCACGAAGTTAGGTATTTGGGAAAAATCAATATTAATTGAGATCGTGTGCCTCAAATTTGGCACACGCGCGTGTTTAAATTTCCTCAAAATTTGTAGATTCACATAAAAATTAAAGGATCTGGGTTACGATTCTCGTTAAATTAATAGGGAGGAAACCAATATAGAAGTGGTAAAAATATTCAACAGGTATGAAAGTAGAAACAAGGGAGTAAGTAGAATTTCAAGAAGAAAAAAATAAAAAGTTAGTTAAGTATATAAATAAATGTAATTCGTAGTAATGTAAAAATGCTTGTTACTCTGTAGCAACTTGAAAAAAACAATGAGTTTGGGAGGTAGAAACACGGAAAAGCCCCCATATTTGTATAGAAAGAGGATAACTATAGGAATTATCCTATGGATATCGTGATAAAAGATATTTAAACAGTAGCATATAATTTAATTTAAAAGATGGCAGTTTGATAAAAGAGTTAATCACATTCTAAAGGTTTAGTGGTATTTGTATAGATCATAATAGGATAATGTTTGACATACTAACTACATAATTACATAAAGCAAACACACAACAATATAATTCTATTCCAAAAGGAAGCTTATTATACTACGATCAATGATAAAAATGTATATATATATATAATTACTTCCCGTTACCGCTCGAACCAAGGATGATCTTTGAAAGCATCAAGGCCAGCGACGTACGCGCGTGGCACAATTTTTTAAGATAATTTCATAATTAAAAATGAACTCACCTCGTAAGCGCTGGTTAATTTGAGATTGTAGAAAACTGGAAGATACAAATGAGCAGCAGCCGGGACCATGAGGAAGACTGAAATCCCGATCATGGTATAGAGTGTGCCATACTGGTACATCTCCGCTGGTAGTCCCAAGAGAGTGATGGCCGAGAGAAAACTGGCCAAGATGGACATGGCCACAGGAAAGATGCTCATGTTCTTGCTTCCTAGGAGGAACTCGTTGGTTGTCTTCTGTTTCTGACCGGTGCAAGCGTAGTAGATACCAATGGCTGCCGATACTGCCAACATGAATGCGAATACCACGTAATCTGCCACGCAGAAGCGACCGACGTGATCTCGTTCGGACATTTTCCAGACAAATGACAAAGCCCCCGACAAAATGCGAGTAATACAATAGAATGGATTATTATTTTACGTCAGTCGATCACGTGGTTGGCATTGTTTCTACAAGTAAACGACAAGGGACGGTTTGCTGCAATTTAAAAATTTATGTTATGATGTGGTAAATTGCTGAAAAGAATTCATATTGCGGAACTTTCGAAATTTCCTTTATTTTGTCTGAAAAACTTTGAGGAAAGTTTGTCTTCAAAAATATGCATTTATAGAAAGTCTTCAATGACCTTTCCTTTTAACTCTTTCTGATTCAATATATGGTTAATTTTAGCTTTTGTTTTCATTTTCTCGTAGAAACTCGCTAATTTTTCATTATTTTTCATAAAAATATGCTCTATATAATCGAATATATCACACGAGTCCATACGATTAAGCTCTTTGCTAATCGTATGGACTCTAAGCTACCACACCTGATATTGAAGATAATTTAATAGGAATTTATTGGATAATTATACATTCACATTATACTTTCTTAAGTATGATATTACTAAATTCACTAAGACTTCATTTGACACGGTTAAAGGTATTTATAATAGGAGGAATACCTTTTCATATAACTTAACCTTCTGTTGTTAAATTAATGATGACCCTTGAAGAACACTCAAAGAAGTTTTTGTAATCAGTGAGCGGCCATAACTATCTCATTTTCTATTCACTATTAAGTACTAATTTCGAAGTTACTATTCGTGGAAGGAGGGAGGGACGGACATTTTTTTTCAGTCCTCTTATAAATTAGATCATAATTAAACTAATTCTTGATATTAGGTGAGAGAATACTTACTTTTAACTAATGATATTGGTGTTTAAAGAGAGGAGGGATGGACGACGTTACAAATCTTCTGTTCAATCAACTGACAAAAGGCGATGTCTCGATACCGATGATAGATGATGATGGTTAAAATGGATCGTTAATTCCTACAGATTTTAATGTACTCTATTAGTATCGAAGGCAGCAGAACTAGTCTCAACTAAGAATCACTAACTCTTAACAGATCCTCCTCCGTTGAGGGTAGAAGACGAAATATAAAAGTCTACTGTAGCACGTAATTAAGATGACAGAATGAATTGTAGATGCAATGGAGTTCTGGTCGGTATATTACGATCCTTAAACGAAAATTAAATCACGTGCAAAAAAGTACTTGGAATTTACTCGTACAACCTCATTTATGTCTGAACGAAGTTAAATTGTTAGAAAATAAAGATTTAATAAGGGAAAATCGTTATTGCGTCCTTCAGAAATAACTTAATAACAAGAAAGAATATTGGAAATTTCCTTAATTAAATGACTTCCTTGAACTGTTCCTTTTTTCTTTTGCAATTCTTCTGAATAATTCTATTTAAACTTTATACATGTATACAATGCAATCACCAGATGAACAACTGTTATACTAGATGATACCCCAGATCAGCACACTATAAATAGCGATTTTAAGTCAGTTTAGATAAATTTATTCCTTCAGATTGCTTTAAAATTGATATTCCTGGAGTAACTACAAATTCCAGTCTCTTAGGCGGAATATGACAAAGGTCCCTCCAATGCTTAATTTACGTTTCGCGCCAGCCAAATAAAAATTTCAAATCTAATGATGTCTTTGACAACACATTCTTTCTCGTCATATTATTGGTTAAGTACAAACAGACCACATTGTTTCTTTCAATTCAATTCTTTCATTGTTTCTTTCAAAAAAGATTATTTGTTTACAGCGATTGCCGAGAGAGGGATGTCTCTTCGAAGGACTTTCTTACGGAAAGTGGCCCCTATTTACATACTACAAAGGTGAAAAAAACCCCGAAAACTCCACGTGACCGTGCGAACCCGTGACAAACTACCATTGTTTAGTAGTTTCATCCACTCGGCCGTTGGTGGGCTTTTTTACGTATACACGTGGTGCATACGTAACACATGAATACAATTGTGCATACACTCATACATGCATTGTCCCAATGCCTAAGGGATTGACGATTTATCATAATATTTAAGACGATTTATCATAATATAATCTCTGATAGTAAAAGTAGAACATTGCAGAAATTGATACAAGAAAGCGAGCGTCACGTCTGCCTTTAGTAATAATAGGCACAAAACCTGAAATTTTGCAAGGGAAAGTGCGGTCCCCTACCGGAATAGTATAAAGTTCAAGAAGTTCCTCACCTCTAATTCTACACCAGACGTGAATAGAGTTTAGAGTAAAATGCACTTGTTACAGCTTATGTATCGTTGAGCACGCTGTGCCCAATGGTGCACATCGTGACGATTATATACTTTGTTCCCAGAAAACAGTGTTCCGCAGGTTTATAAAACGTGCCGAAGGAGTTGTAGTTCGTCACGCTGTAAATTTACCATACGCGCATCACTCAAATCGCTGAGGCACCCTCTGCGTGTCGTGAAGGTTGCGAATAGCGACGGAATGGGCGTGTATCGTAACGACGTAATATGGAGTGTATTTGTCACAACCTACCTAATCAAAGCACAATAATAGACACACAAATTGATTTAGTTCAACTAGTAACACGATTTCAAGACATAACTCTGCAATATACGAATTCTATATTTTCAGACAGTTTAGTAAGACACAAAAATGGCCTGTTTTCTGCCATTTTTCTGAAAAAACATGCAGAATTATAAAGTTGGGTAAATATAAACTACTTATTAGTTACGTTAGGGGTCAGAATCCTCAGTAATTCATACGTGAAGAGTCCAAAAAATTAGGCTTTCTGGTGTAATTTTATGCTAGTTTTAATCCGATCAAGCAAGATTACTAAAAGATTCAGAATCTTTGACATTTATTCAAATTATTATTGGGCTCATACTAAACTTATTTCGCTTAAATCATTCCATATGATTCACTCAGACAACGTCATATGATGCGATTTTCCCGATTAATCAGGAGATGACTCCATAATCATTATTGAATTGGATTGGATTGATAACATACGGTAACGCAACAAGTGGGCGATCTGCCAAAGGGTGCCTCTCAGGATTTCCTATATATCGTATGCATCGATGTATACATCGTACATATTCATGTATGTAATGGATATATATGGAAAACCGGCTTCTTCACAGAAACCATTTGTATAATCGGGGAAACTCCACGTTGGTCAGGTGCGAACCTTTGACCAACTACCAATGTTCTGTGATTTTACTCGGCCACTGAGTGGGCTAATCGTAATTGGCCTAAATATCAATTTCGAAATACTTTGCAGATATTTCATAACTGATGTTTCGCTTCTCTAGGAATTCCCACCACATTTGAGATAAGAATGCGCAATCAATGGACTAGTTCAATTGTTTGTTTTCCAGTTAAACACCAGACAAACTTGTTTTCAACTGATAATTCAATTATAAAACGTGGTATTTAGAGAAACAAAAAAGAAAAAAATAATACGTGATTCAGCACTTTTTGTAATTATTCACTCGTAATTGACAATACCATCGTGATATCATATTTTTATAGTTTCCTAGAGTTCTGGCCAACTTTTAATTATATGAAAAAGGATTATTGCTTTATAAAATGGTATAACTTATTTTTTTTTGTGATTTTCTTAGTAAAATTTTCATAATTTTTTAGATGCCAGCCGGAAATTACCCCTCGACCTCTAACCACCAATAAACAAACGAACCTCCCTGCAAAATTTCAGAAATTCTCGACAAAAAACACAGGAGTTATTATGCTTCAAAGAGGGTGAATAAAATCGTGTGCCCCCACACACTAACAACCATACATACAGAAATACCCCCACCCATTTTTGTGCATTTCTCGACGTTTCAAGGGGTCCTAAGTCCAAAAATTTTTAAATCTTGGGGGGATTCATTTTTTGACGATCGCCATCCTTTCCCTCTGTTATATAATAACAGAGTAAAAGTAAAACTTAAAAACTATAAACAATTCACTCAACTTTTTTAAATGAAAATGTTTAAGCCTTTATTTAATTCTTTCGAAGAACCACAATTTACAAGAATTACAGTTTCGTGCACCTATCTCATTCCCCATCTGTTTGTTTATGAAAGTCGTGATACGTCATTGACAGCACCATAGTAAAATAATGCAAAGTGATATACTTTACCTAGAACAAGTACAAAAATATTTTCTCTCGATAATTATATGTTTAACGAAATATTATTTATAAAAATCAAGACCTTCATAACTTTGTTAAACGTTTCCACACTAGTTAATTCCCCAGTTTGTTAAAGTTCTGTTTAAAATTAAGTGTTTAATAGAAATTTATAATTAAATTATATTCTTGCTATGAACTAAAATGTTGAACACCAAACCGCGTGAGAACTTAAAGGATGGTGTAAGGACCTCCAAATAAACTCGTGATAAGGGGACAATCAAATTCTTTGGTGTTGTGTCAGAACAATCCTCACGCGTACAATAATGTTCTTACACGACAACATTGCTGATTGTGAGGTAATACGGGCATAAAAAAAGCTGCATTACACTGCAAAATATTCGATAAATTAGTTGGCCCCATGTATTTTTTAATTGTGTCGGGTGCAGTTATGTGGAATTGGGATAGCTTAGAACAATGTTCTTCAACCTTCTTGAATAAGCGACCTTTTTACAAGTTAAAAAATTCTGGCGACCCCCCCAGAGCCACATTAAAACTATGTCAGTGATTTTAAAAACTACTTTTTTAAGTTTCTTTCTGTTGAGACTTAAATATCGATCAAAAAACCAATTGTACTGTAAAATAAACAGGCACAGCCTTTTCACTGAGATTGTAGTCTTTTTTATTCTGGTGTAGGACCTACAAAAATTTGTCTTTTTCTTTTATCCGCGACCCCGTGTAAGGTTTTGCGACCCACAGGTTGAAAAACACTGGCTTAAAATGTAGAAAATTTAAATAACAACGCTAAAACTTAAATCTTTGAACTTAATTTGAATAAAATTTCGTTAAATAACAAGAAATATTATTTAATTCGTCCCTTGAAACAGTATTTGAAGCGATTCTGTTTTAAAATATTTCGTACCTAATTAATTCTTTGGGAATATTGAAGGAGGGACGTTATGATAAAAACACCGTGATCTTGTAGGAATACAAATATACTTTTATTCTTTGAATACAAATCTCCCAGAATGTGAATCCTCGCCTACAAATCATTTTCCTCCCCGAAAATTTTTCTCTTTTAGACCAAACCTTTCCCCTGAATCTAGATAAATTTACCCAACTTGGTAACGTTATAATAAGTTTTGAAAAGCCAACTAAGTGACGAAGGTGATCGCCCTGAAACAGAGCAGACAAACAACGATGCCAGACAAATGCGGCGGTAAATAGGAAAGATTGCAAGGCCGTCAAAGTATCTCACTGAAAGACTGGAATGGAACATTTCCACGAATTCTTCGTGGGCAATGTGTTTCCGCTATGTTGGTTCCTTCCTGGTGACACGCAATGTGGCCTAGCCAAATTCACGTTGAATGTGGAAAAGCTCTTAGTTCCCATAGGGTAAAAAGTGCCAAAAACGAAACAATCTAAGTTGAGGACCAAATTCCATAGAAGTCTTCTCGTAAGGTATCTTTACAGCTTGTCCTCCAGTTGCATTGCCCTAATACTTAGCACTTCAGGAAAGTTAAAATGTAAAAGGGAATCGGAATTTATCAGACTAGGAAAATAAATGAAAATAATTGGAAAAAAACATAACTAATTCCATTATGAGATCCACATCTCATGTAACTATAACATAAATGTCCTGGATAGGAAGGAGCAACGAGACGTGAGCTCAAGGTTTTCTTTTATTCGTCTTCAATGGCTACGTCTGAAAAAAATAAACAGCAGACAATGCGCTTACAGTTAAGCTTGCTGCAATTTAACTGCAACCCTTCAAGGCTTAAACATGTTTTAAAGAAGGCCTAGTTTCACTTCTAACAATGTAAATGACTGATCCCAACACGTCTGCAACTGCAACCACTTCTATTGAGACCTCTGGCTCTCATCCTCAGTTGGTGTAGTCTTCAGAAGATGAAGTTATCATCTTACGAAAGGAGGCTCTCATAGTGTCCACACGGTGGTGAGTTAGAAATACCCCCTTGACCTTTCACCAAAATTTAATACCATAATCTTAATAATACACAAACCCTCAAAACTCCAGAAACTTTCGACAAAAAACACGGGTTAAGTTTCAAATTGGCTGAACAAAATTGTGCCCACACACAGCTGCTTATGCATA